AAAAATTAGGACAATTATTAATGTCTTAAGATGTTTATTTTAATGGCGCAATACTCGTAAAAAAAAAAATGTAAAAAGTAATACTTTTTGTGGTTTTTATAATCCTAAACGTTTAGCAAGAGAATACTTAAAAATTGTTTACACAAAAAAGCGATTAAATTATTACATAATGAACCAAAACTGTATTTTTGATTCATATTGATTATACCACAGTAGTGGATATTAATATGTAACAACAATAGGTCTGTACTAAATTTGCACACAGTTTTAGGTTGCCTTTATTTTACCTTTGTTATGGTAAGCACCCCCCTAAATGATAAATAATCAATCGATTATTGATGGGAGTCTATTATATCTAACCTAATCGCTTATCACCGGTCCCTTATCACTAATCCTTATCAGCTCTCCCACATCAGTGATAAGAGAGTTATGAGCCACCTAACTTGTCAGAACTTAAACAAACAGCATTTTTTTGTGGTTCAAATCGAACTTAAGGGAGGTACTACACCCTGTAAGAATTTAATTATGTGCTACCTATTAATAGATTGCATTAACACTTAAAACAAAAAAATGATAGTAGCGGCTGTAGGTAGGTATGGTTTTCGTTGAAGCCAATAGATATATAGCGTGATTAGATAACTATGACCCAGACAATCTTAAATTACATAATATTAGACCTTTTTTAATTATTATTTTTCGTACTTCAATGTCAGCCCAAATTTAATATATTTTTCAACAATATAGTAGTAACACATGTTAGACATTACCTGTTATAATAGCTGTTTATCATACATAATAGATAAGTCTTAGAAACTACCTCTATCATATTATCTAGATGCAATTAGTTATCATTGACAACAAGGCATTTCTTATATTTTGTAGGTACAAAGGCAGACACTTAAACGTAAAAGTCTTGAAAATGACAATGAAAATAACTGCAATTGTACCTAACAGCTAATGTTTAACATAAATATGCTTTATTATTAATTAAATCAATATGTAATTCGCAACATCATCAAACTTCTTTTATATTATCTTATTATTTTTTTTAAATTCACATTTACACATTGTAAAGATCATGATGATCATGATGTCTGTGGATCATCACATTTTCAGACATCATCGTACAACGACTTGACGTTGATCTAAATTTTGCTTTGTAATGACCAACGTGTTACATATTTTATTTTATTATTTTATATTCAAAATAAATACATTTATCACAAGTTACAATGTCATACCGCAATTTGAAAATTTAAAAAAAAACCACCGTTAATTAACACTTGTGAATTAAGCTTAACTTAACTTCGGACAACTAGTAAATTAGATATATGTATATAATATATTATAAATCATTTCAATTCACTTTGAACGAAATTTGAAGGTTTTTATAAAATTACATACCTACACTACTTGTATACATAATCATTTTATATTTTGTAAGATAAATTAGTTTTATATGCAATTTCTAGTATGTAATAATTGTGTGCTCTTCAGATAATTAGTCCTTGTTTAAACAAAATTTAAAAAATTTAAATATTCAAAAAAAATGTGACTAGTTGAAAATAATATTAAAACTTTAGACTCTTTTAAATGTTAGTCTTCTAATTGCACGAGATACTGTTCTTAATTAAAACATAATATAACAATAATAATAAGAAATTATTGTTAGGTAGTATAGCAAAACGATACAACGCTATTTTTCTGATACCGTACAAGTATTCAGTTTGTACTATAAGATGTAAATTTCTTCCATGACTGTTTCTTTTACTTGTAAGTAAGTTTTTTTTAATTAAAAAAGGTTTTTGCGTGCATTTGTATTTATTAAAACTTTTTTTTTTTGTTGTTATATTTTATGGCCTCTTCAATAGTTTGGTTCCACCATTGAAGTTGGCTATTTTGTAAGGGAGTTGGGTAAAGCGGTGCTCTGTTCAGGCACTTCCGGCGTGATTTCTTTAATTACTTCTGGTAAAAGACCGTTTCCGGTGTCCGGTTCGCCGTGGGGTTGTTCGGCTGTTAAGGAACGATAGTAAGCCACGGTCCACCCTGATATGAAATCAATCAATCTCCATAATAAAACATCACATAGAGATTGCAAAATCATCATATTCTGGATAGTTTGACAGTACAAAGGCAGACAATTTTCATTTCCCGAAATGATAAGTTTGATTGCAAAATCGTTACTATAGCGCAGAGTTGTTGTTTTACCAGCAAAAAAAAAAAAATATAATTGCAAAACGCTAAAAAAATCGCTTTATTTTCTTCTGCTAGGTATTGCAATTTTAAATTACAAACACAATGTTCAAAAAATCAATTTTTTCGGTGTAATAAAAAGAAAAAGAAAATATCGAAAACAATTGAAATTTGTATGATCAAGTGTTGTCGAATGAAATCGAAAACAATAATATTATTTACTTATGCTTTTTTTACAGTCCAACACAATGCAAAATTTAGCTATACCGTACATGGTCTTGCGAGCATAACAAGATAGTACCTATTAAATACAACACATTGTACAAAATACTTATATATTTTGTTTCAAAATAGTATAAAAACAAATAATGATTACCAACATTTGTGCATTTATGTTGTGTTGTTTTGCTATAGCGTCAAATATAGAACTAATCGAGTCGGTAGGTAACCGCAAGGTAAGAATTCATTTTTAACTATAATTTTAAAACTATAACATTATTGTTTATATTATACTTCTCAGCTGCGCCATACTAAAATACACTAAGTTTTATCTTGAAGAAAATTAATTAAGTGGACGTCGCGGGTAAAGTGTCGCGTGTACAACATATGGGTTATGTAGCAATGAACAGAATAGGAAATACAATACCCATCATTGTGATCTAACTTTATTACTTTTTTTGTCATGGCGTACGAATAATTTTCTCATAAATCAGAACAAACGTATATTCGGTATCTCGTATAGCATACTTACTTATTAACATGTATATTAGAGCATACTTATCTTGCACGTGTGTTACAATAAAATAAGTGAAATTCGCTTAACCTATTTTGACCATGGTCGTATTGGATATTTTAGTTTTTTTTCTTTTTTGCTGTTTTTTTTTTTGTAGTATTATATTTCATCGAACAAAATAATGAATTAATTGCACTAGTATGCTGGTCAAGTTACTTTTTTTTTTTTTTGAAACAGTTGAATTATACTTGTTGAGTAATTTTATTCAGCGAAAACCCCAACTTGATTCCGTTTTATAGCTATTTTTTGTAATATATTTTTGTTTTAGGTTACTTTTGTACAACATATTTTTCCGCCGTGTACCTGGTGGTATGCGAGCAGTATAAACCGCTTGAAAACATTCAAAGAAGATCCAATCGTTATTGAAACCGAAGAACAGGACATTCTGGTAGGACCGAGATACGAAGACTTAAAATCAAAAATCCAAGCTGTTGATAAATTTGAGAAAAAAATCCAAGACATCCAATGTAGTTTTTGCGCAATTACTAAATCCAACATGGCGTACTCGAAGGACTTGGTTGAAAAATTACAGCGCGGACAGCCGTTGATGGCGAACGAGACAACAGCTGTAAAACGTCTCGAAGCGGAAGCCGCAAATATACTGGAAGCATTACTGTCGTCCGCCCCCATCGTTCTAGACTCTATTAGTTGTTATTTTTAATCGTTCTTTTACATTAGAAAATATATAGCTAAATATATAGCTTGTTTAGTACTTAAAATATTGTTTGTTGGCACTGGTTTTGTGTTACCTGACAAAATCACGTCTTCGTGTTGGCAACACTGAGTGTTATCAATTAATGTAACAAAACGGTTTTTGAACATTTTTGTAACATACACTGATCTCGTTGATAAGTCTTCGATTAGTGTAAGTAGGTTATATTGCTAAAATAACATGCTAAAATTATTTTTTGAAAATCACGTTTATAAAATAATGAACTCGGGGTATAAAAACTTATTTCAAGAAAAATGACAATGCATGTTTTATTGCAAATAAAAAATAAATATTATGAAATAAATAGTTTTATATTAATGAATTTAGAACACTTACCGAACGATTGGGAAATAACGTTTGGTATTAATCAAAAGAAAATTATTCATTTTTATTCCAAATTGTATACCTAACATAACTGATTTAAAGTAATATTGTAAGTAGTAATTTATGATATCTGTTATACCTATCAATAGTGAATATTATTGGCGTTCAAGTTAGGTAAATATGTTCTACTGTGTACCGTCCCCATGGAAATTTACAACCATATAATATATGATAACCAATGCATACTGAAAACAATAAACAACAGTTTACTAAATAAAAATCAGACGAGCAATAGCCAATAAGTTTCAACGGTAATTAAAAAAACATATTTTCAATCTTAGACAAGTGTTCACATTAGTATTTTATAACATATTCTAGATCAAAACGTCTTGTACAATCCGAATTATTAATCACTGTAGTAATATTATAAATCAAAAAGCGGAATTCATTCTCTTTGTTTCCGTGCAAGTAGAAAAAGAATCGATTGTTCATATAACATGACAAAAAAAATTGGAGCGAATGTTATATTTATGTCTGATTATCGGTGACAGTATTATCGATAGGGATCAATACTATTATTTAATGGCAAATAGAAGTGCTACTGTTTCAAAGAACCCAACAAATATTGATTTTTAAATTCAAATCTTTACACTGTCACAGCAAACTCACAGATAGTTGAAAACTACAAATTCAAACGCTAATTTTTTTTTGAAAATTTACAAGTTAAAAATATTCTAGATATGGAAAATTTTATAAAAATATACAACTACTGGTTAAGGAAAAAAAATTATCAAAATAATAATACTTTCTGAGAAAATTAGTGTCTTACACCAGTTGGATATCGTGACTAAAGATGCGGTTCTCTGCATGGGTGAACATGGGAAATTAAATTTAATCCTTGAATATTTACCTACACTGCATTCTACCTTCAGCCGACCAACTCGGCCGCCGCTGTTATCACCTGTTGCACAACATAATATTATCAAATGGCTCATAGCTGTAGCGTTCCTTTGTTTGCAATAGAAATTATGTCTGGCTCGAGATGAACCTGTTTATTTGACAATTTAAATAATAATTAGTTGTGCATTTACAATATAGTAAAATAAATATTAGGCTAATCGTGTGTTATTGTAGCTGTAAGTTGTTCAAGTGTCTTGCTAGCCGATCCCTAACCAGCCAGGTGTCTTTATAGCTGTGTAAGTACCAAATAATATCATCATTGATTTTATTGTTTTTCTCTATGCAGTTAAATTCTTAAGTAATCTGCAGTTGATGGAATTATCCGAACATTTAAAATCATTAATACACATATATTAATATAGGCTTGTAGCGAGACAACTACTGTCGCGGCCATAGGGACAAATTACTTTTTAGTGAAACACGGTATGGGACCAACTAGTCATAATTTTGTTAATTTCGAGCTTTAACTTAGATATGTCTTTATACGTTTTTACCAATAGAGTCAATTTCTTTTGCTTAATTTTATATTTTTTATACCAGGATTCCGTCACGGTCCGGACATTAACAGCTAAAATGAAACTGTGTAGTTCACTTGCTTTTAATGAACAGAATGTAATCTATAAAATATTTCTGTCACATTCAAATAATGGGCCAAGATTGCTAATCAAATGACATATATTATTATTATTTGTGTAAATTCTAAATATTCGTTGTACCTTGTTATTTTTGGTTTCATTTGACATTAAATTGTATTTATTTGTTTATTGTAGACGGGTATAAAAACCTTTCAGAAAAAATACAGTTTAAGCTTAACATTAATGATTATATACAGTGGGAAAATAATAATAATAATATGTAAACAGCTAATAGTGCCGTGAACAATAATAATAATAACAACAACAACAAGTAATGAGACTATAGTACACAATTCAAGGCATATTAAAAATGTAAACGAAAATCAAATAGCTAATTGACTTAATGCTAAATATTAACATTGTCTAAAGGAATCTTGTGACAAAAAAAAATAATTCTAATTTTTCGGTAATAATGTTAGCTAATAAATGAGTTCTATATCAATAATTAGTTATTGTTCTACATCGGCATTATAATATTTATTTACAATTCTTGTATTCAACGCCTTATTGCTTTTTTGTAGTTTTAAATATTGTACATGTTACAGCATTTAAAATCTGTTTAATTATAAATTAATTTGTTGTTCTTAAACTGGCAAATTATAGCTTTATTAGGTGAGAAGCGGGACCAGAATTAATATCGGAACAGACAATTGAACTGCAATAAAACAATCATCTGAGTAGAGGAAGTATATGAACAGAATAAAATGAACCGTACCAAAGCCGATGAAGAAAAAACAAAATCGACTTTCAATGATAAGGCAGAAATTAGTGTAAATACCCAGACTGGTCCTCAAACGATAGTTAACAGCAACACATACAAGTAATGTGTAATTATTAATTTAAGAAATACGTTGTATTTCTAAAAATTAAGAAATAATAATGTGTTTAAGCTTGTTTATGGTATTCCATGGCTTCTTTTGTAAAGCAGTTGGTTTTTTCACTTTTTTCCTGTAGAGCTATACCTAATTAATACCCTACCTATCAAACTATATACCTATTATATATTTTGATGTGAAATACATTTTATATTATTAGGTATTCTATAGCTGATTTAGTAATGCGATTTATGTACAACGTAAATATTAAGGAAATACACATTATATTTATACAAAAATGTTTTAACGTTAAATACAACAATTTTTAAAGTTAAGTCATTATTTTATAGTATTTAATACTATTAAACTACTTTTGAAAACTAAAACATTTGAGTACAGACAAAAGTGCAAATTTCAAATTTCAATGTAAACACGTCTAGTGAATTGACTATCACACTTTTATGTTTATTTTAAGCAGAAAACCTATAAATTAAATTCACACAGTTTTAGTAACTGTCGTATTAGTAATACGTGTTAAACTATCTAACTCTCATATATTTTAATATGAAAATACATTTTGTTCAAGTTTGATAAAGTTGAGAACTAACAATAAAAAATGATAGGGCAATCCCAAATATTATTAGGTATTCTATAGCATCTTTAGTTATGCGGTTGTTTTTTTAATGTACAATGCTCATTATATTTCTACAAAAATTATCTAATACTATCAAACTATTTTTGAAAACTTAAACATTGAGTACAGATAAAAAATAAAAATGTCAACATATAAACGTTTAGTGAATTGACTATCACACTTTTTATAAATTAAATTCACACAGTGTCTGATTTAGTAAATAGTATTCATTTTTTTAAATATTTTTTGTTTTTCAGTGTTAACAAAGCGAAAAATAAAATTGAAATACACAAACCAGTTAATTATTACCACGAGGCCAGGGAATCGTATAATATTTTCTCAACAAAAGCGAATGGACTTCAAGAGACATTTGACGGCAATACTTACAAGTAATATCATTCTTTAAATAGTATATTACTTACTAAAACCATGATCAAAATGTTCATTTTTTTTAAGTATCTCATAAGTATAATTATTTTTTAAATTTGAGTGAACTCTATAAATTTTGGTTTTTATTTTATTTTACAAGTAACAATGTCACACATTAGGATAAAAAAGAAAGTATTTGACTAATAATAAGTAATAATTCTCCATTCGTGTTTTATCTACAATTTTATATATTATCATAATAACTGCATAACATTTATTTTTATCTGTAACATTGAAATACTCTCATTAAAACTATGAATACATGTTTTCTTACAGTTGTGTCAGGCTACCATTTAATCGATCAGTCACAACTAGTACTAGTAAATACAATTTAATGTATTGTATTTTTATGTATAGAGATAGTAAACTTTATATAATGATTACCTTCATATCTGCCAAGGACTTTATTTTTTTAATTAAAGTTTTGCCATTGTCATTTGCAAAATAACTGTAAGACCAAAATTTGTCCAAGTCCTCTTGGTTATTACCACAGTTAAATAAATGTATGGGTGCAATAACTGGGTAGTATCAGAGAACGGACACTCAAAATTTTACAAGGTTTTTATGCCTATATCTAAAAAACATGATGACCATAATCTCGTTAATTAATCAATATAGTGGACAGTATTTCTTCTATATATTAATTTTGTTTTTGTATAATTTTACGATAAATAAGATGGCGGCCTCCATGCAAAAATATTGTATTAACTAAAGTGTTCTCTCTGATTCAATTTACACTTTAATAGTACCGAATCAATGTATCATCATCATCTTTAAAATAATATTTTTGTTTTTTAGTATTAGAGAAACAATTGTGAAAACGGAAGCAGATTTAGTGGAAGGCAATTATTTTGAGTCTGTGATCGAATTTGAAAAACAAGGCCTTTTTGATGTTCATATGTCGAACTACGGTTTGGATAAAATTCAGACATTTATTTGCGACCTTTGCAAAGAATCGTTTACTTCTAAAAGGAATGTGGCCCAACATATTAATGAATCGCACAGAATCCAGAAATGTACTAAAAAACATGTCAGAAATACACTTGGGTAATGTAAATTTGCTTTACAAGCGCCGACTAGGGTAAAATGAAACATGCACTTGACTTTAAACAATATATTTTTTTAATAATTTAATTTTGGTAAATGTTTAAATTTATTTTACACATTATAAAATATGTTACCTTGACAATGTTCTATTTTACCTGGGTTGACGAAATTATACTTAAACATGCTGTATTTTATAACAATTTTTAATTTTTAGAATTAAATCAGTTCCGAAGAAAAACAGTAAAAAATCGAAAAACCCGCAATCGTTCCATTGTGACTTGTGTCAAACGTCGTACTTTACTAAAATTCAAATAATATTACATAAAATACAAGTCCACCAAAGTTCAACAAATAAAACCTCTCTCCGAAAGTGTAAATCTAAATTTCGCAATCAAACACTACGTAAACGCGTGGACATTGGTGAGAAGCCTTACAAATGTTGTTTGTGCCAAAAGACTTTTTCTCAAAACTCTGACCTTACAAAACATGCACGCGTACACACTGGTAAAAAGTCCTATAAATGTGTGGTTTGCAATAAGACATTTTCTCGAAACGCTCACCTTACACAACACGAACGCGTGCACACCGAAGATAAGCCCTACAAATGTAACTTGTGCAATAAGACTTTTTCTTTTAAAACTACCCTTACACTACATGTACGCGTACACACTGGTGAAAACCCCTACAAATGTGATGTTTGCAATAAGACTTTTTCTCAAAAAGCAAACCTTACAAAACATACACGCATACACACCGGTGAAAAACCCTACAAATGTGATGTTTGTAATAAGACTTTTTCTCAAAACTCTTACCTTACAGTACATAAACGTGTACACACTGGTAAAAGGCCCTATAAATGTGATGTTTGTAAAAAGACTTTTTCTCGAAACGCTCATCTTAAATACCACGAACGCGTACACACCGGTGAAAAACCCTATAAATGTGAAGTGTGCAAAAAGACGTTTTCTCAAAAATGTACCCTTACACAGCACGAACGCGTACACACCGGCGAAAAGCCCTACAAATGTAACTTGTGCAATAAGACTTTTTCTATTAAAACTACTCTTACACTACATATACGCGTACACACTGGTGAAAACCCCTACAAATGTGATGTTTGCAATAAGACTTTTTCTCAAAAATGTAACCTTACACAGCACGAACGCGTACACACCGGCGAAAAACCCTACAAATGTGAAGTGTGTCAAAAGAGTTATTCTGAAAAAGGAAAGCTTACCATACACGAACGCGTACACACCGGCGAAAAACCCTACAAATGTGATGTTTGCAAAAAGACTTTTTCTAGAAAAGCAAACCTTACAAAACATACACGCATACACACCGGTGAAAAACCCTACAAATGTGATGTTTGCAAAAAAACATTTTCTGAAAAAGGAAGCCTTACAATACATAAACGCGTACACACCGGTGAAAAGCCCTATACATGTGATGTTTGCAATAAGACTTTTTCTCAAAACACTCACCTTACCAAACATAAACGCGTACACAACGGTGAGAAGCCTTACAAATGTTGTTTGTGCCAAAAGACTTTTTCTCAAAACGCTCATCTTAAATACCACGAACGCGTACACACCGGTGAAAAACCCTATAAATGTGAAGTGTGTCCAAAGACTTTTTCTGTAAAAGCAAGGATTACCAAACATGCACGCGTACACACTGGTGAAAAGCCCTATACATGTGATGTTTGCAATAAGACTTTTTCTCAAAACGCTCATCTTAAATACCACGAACGCGTACACACCGGTGAAAAACCCTATAAATGTGAAGTGTGTCCAAAGACTTTTTCTGTAAAAGGAAGCCTTACAAACCATGCACGCGTACACACTGGTGAAAAGCCGTATAAATGTGATGTTTGCAATAAGACTTTTTCTCAAAACGCTACTCTTACAAATCATAAACGCGTACACACTGGTGAAAAGCCCTATAAATGTGATGTTTGCAATAAGACTTTTTCTCAAAAAGCAAACCTTACAAATCATAAACGCGTACACACTGGTGAAAAGCCCTATAAATGTGATGTTTGCAATAAGACTTTTTCTGAAAAAGGAAGCCTTACAAACCATGCACGCGTACACACTGGTGAAAAGCCGTATAAATGTGATGTTTGCAAAACAAATTTTTCCGACAAAGGAACCCTTACAATACATAAACGCGTACACACCGGTGAAAAGCCCTATACATGTGATGTTTGCAATAAGACTTTTTCTCAAAACACTCACCTTACCAAACATAAACGCGTACACAACGGTGAGAAGCCTTACAAATGTTGTTTGTGCCAAAAGACTTTTTCTCGAAACTCTAACCTTACAATACATAAACGCGTACACACCGGCGAAAAACCCTACAAATGTGAAGTGTGTCAAAAGACTTTTTCTGTAAAAGGAAAGCTTACCAAACATGAACGCGTACACACCGGCGAAAAACCCTACAAATGTGAAGTGTGTCAAAAGACTTTTTCTGAAAAAGGAAACCTTACGAGACATGAACGCTTGCATGGTTATAAAAGACTTTAGACATTGTGCCTAAAATTTTTTTTAAAATTCAAAATATTTTTTGACTTGAATGTTTTTATATAATATTTGCTTTTTTTTGGTATACTCATTCAAGGTCATATACTTAATTTATAGTTAAATTTCTTACTAAAATGTGGCACTTAGTATTGTGATAGTCTGTATGAACTGTACGAATTTTTTTCTTATTATATCAAATATTTATTTTTATTTTAGTATTATTATATAAGAATACAATGTTAATTGTTGATATATAGTATTATTGTTTTTATTATATTTATTGATAGGGTTAAAACTTTTGTATGGTAACAGATGTGTTTTGTTGTCTTATTTAGTACTTTAAGTTATTATTATTATTTTTTTTTTATATAAATTAAACGGACAAACGTCCTTTAACAATAGATATGAATGATAAAACGTATATAAAAGACTATTGAAAAATTACAAGATTACTTAAATAAAATAAATTAACATAACATTAATAAAAAATAAAAAACAAGAATATATAATGATAATAATAGAGATAAGATGATTATAATTTAAAGCGTTAAATATAAATTATTAATTTAAGTTAATTTTGTAAGACTGACGTGATATATTAAAAAGTCAAGTGTTGTAGAAATAGTATTGTATAAAAGAAGAGCTCTAGGGAGAAATGAGTTTGTACCCGTGTTTGTTTTATAAAACGGGGTAATAAATAAATCTGTATTACGAGTATATTTACAAGGGATACGGGAATTAATTAGAGCTAAGATCTCAGGGCAGATAACGAAACCATTTAAAATATCAAAAATTAACATTATATCAGCTAATTTACGCATAATATTACGATTAAAAAGTCCTAAAGATTCTTGACAGGGTTTTAAGGAATGTTTTGATAAAGCAAGACCTGAGACATGAGCTATTCTTTTTAAAAACTTATATTGGATATTGTCTAAATCACTATTGTAAGTTGAAAAATCATTTGACCAGATAAAATATCCATATTCAAGGTTTGATCTTCCTAAAGAGTTATAGAGAGTTTTTAAACAGGTAATATTTTTGAAATCAATTGTATTTATATTAATAAAGCCAAGCATCTTGTATAAGGCTTATTAACAACTGTTTTATGATTAATTTTAAAGCTAAGATTTTTTCGAAATATATTCCTAAATCTATAATAGAGATAAATTTTAATAGTGAAAAATCATTGATATGATATTGAAAAACAGAGGAATTAATTTTACGTGTAATAGTTATTACTTAGCATTTATTAATATTAGAGGAGGAAAATGGTTTTCACTCCAAAGAACCAATTTGTTTAAGTTAGCTTGTAAGGTATGCCGATCATCAAACGATTTGATCTTACAAAATATTTTCGCATCATCACCAAATAACAATATATTAACTAATAGATCAAGAACTAGAGGTAGATCATTTATAAATATAAAAAATAATAAAGGTCCCAAGTGAGAACCAAATGAATGAAATTATATTTTAACAGCTTGAGTTTGATTAATAAGGAAAGACAATAACCATTCAAGGAATTTCCCACCTATTCCAAAAGATTTTAATTTATGGTATATAACAAAATATGATCAACTTTATCAAAAGCTTTTTCGAATTCAGTGTAAATTGAATCAACCTGATAGCCTTCATCTAAGGCGCTTATTAAGAAATTATAATATGTTAATATGTTTATAAATATGTTGTAATTAGTAAAAATTGAATGTTTACCTAAAACAATCATGTTGCATGAGACTTATATAATTAGTTAGTAAAGTAAATAATTATTTTGAAATAATAGCCTCAAACATTTTAATAATAATTGTGAATTTAGCAATTGGTCGGTAATTTCTAACATTATTTCTATCGCCGGATTTATGAATAGGAGTGATAAAAGATTTTTCCAAACATTCGGAAATACACCAGTGGAAAGTGATAAATTAAATAAGTGCTTTAGAGATTTAACAAGGACATGACAACAGTTTTTTAAAAAAAATTGGAGGCAAACCATCAGGACCAGTACTTGATTTTTCATTCAGTGAAGTAAGATAATCAATTATATTACCATCAGGTACAGATATAAAATTTAAATTAAGATCGTGATCAATAGAGTTGTACATTTCATTCAAATTGTAGGTAACATTTTTTTTAGTATAAACAGAAGAGAAATAATTAGAAAATATTTGAGTAATATCATTCAAATGATCAGCAAATAAATCATCTAGGAAAAATGAGAGAGGTATATATAGATTTATTTTTTCTTAGAGATTGAATATAATTTCAAAAGGATTAAAATAATATTAATATGATTTTAATTCGTATAGTGTAAAAAATAAAAAATTAGTAAAAAAAAAAAACATTTTGATTTTTAAATAACATATAATTAAATTTTGCCCCTAGGCTGTCATAATATATTAGTCGTACATTTCAATGGATTAATTAAAATTTATTTTAAATACAAACTGACAAAATTGTTTGGAAAACAGTTTAATGTTCTACCTTCAACATTCATGTACAGCTGTACTAAACGAATGAAATGAAATGAAACCGTTGAATTTTAATAATAAAAGTAAAATACTAACTTGTCGACTTGCTGTGCTTAAATAACATAATAGTTATAATATACAGCCTAATATTTAATTAGACACCGCTCTTAGATTTCATATAAACAAAAATATCCAAAATTATTATTTGTTTTAATATAGTTTATACATTTTGTAAACAGACCAGCTAGGTCGACTGTGGACGAGTTAAAGTAAAACATCTTATGTAACATCAGATGAATGTTGTCTTCAATTGTTGTCCTAGTTTCGATAACATTTGGAAATTTGAATTCAAAACAAATATTATTTCTAAAAAACTTTGTTGGCAGTCAAGTATGTACCGAAGAAAAAAAATGTACTTAAAACCCAATATTTATTTCTATGTCTTTTGTTTAAAAAAGAAGTATCGCCGCTTTATTGAACAGTATACTTTCAGTGCTTGAATATAATATTTCACTACCTATGTTATTGTACAAGAGTCTGGTGTTAGTAATTGCTCAGTTTTTCATTTGTTAGAATAGAAAACACGAAGCGCTGGCTATTATTCCAGGTACATGCTTTTTTTTTTCAAGCTACGCGAAATGTATTTTGAACGGCATTTCGAAAATTTGGAAGACGATTCGTCGACTCTAGATTTGCAGATGATCCGGCAAGTCACTATGGCGAGGAAAATGCAAGACGACACGTATCCAGACGTGGAGATATTTTATAAGATTATACCCAAGCCTACACCCAGACCTAAGTCAGTTTTGATTTAATTCTTTAATATTGTATTTTAGACTGTTAGTTTTCTGTTTCCACTTTGATACGGGTCTAGTTTTTATATAACCGTTGCTCGCATCAAACCCCTTGCAAAATAAAACAATACAATATTTCAAAAATGTATGAAAGCGAAGAAACTTTAAAATGCATATATGCTATTTTAAATAAAAATACAAAAATTATAAGAATTTATTACATCTAACAAAAATACTAAATGCAGTAGATATTTTTTTCGAAACAAAATAAGGTTTTCTGCTTGGGTTAACACGGCAAATTAAATTTAATCCTTGAATATTTACCTACACTGCATTCTACCTTCAGCCGACCAACTCGGCCGCCGCTGTTATCACCTGTTGCACATCATAATATTATCAAATGGCTCATAGCCGTAGCGTCCCTTTGTTTGTAATAGAAATTATGTCTGGCTGGAGATGAACCTGTTTATTTAAAAATTTAAATAATAAATAGTTGTGTATTTATAATATAATATAAAAACACTAAAGCTAAGCGTGTGTTTTCGTAGCTGTAAGTTGTTCAAGTGTCTTGTTAGCTGATCCCTAACCAGCCAGGTGTCTTTATAGCTGTGTAAGTACCGAGTAATGTCATCATTAATGTTATAGTTTTTTTGATGTAATTAAATTCTTAAGTAATCTGCAGTTATGGAAATATCTGAACCGTTTTTTTGTAGTGAAACACGGTATGGGACCAATTTGTCATAATTTTGTTGTTTTGAGCTTAAACTTGGATATGTCTTTGACTTTTATGTTTTTACCAATGAAGTCAATTTTTTTTTGCTTAATTTTATATTTTTTATACCAGGATTCTGTTACCTTCTGAACATTAACAGCTAAATGGAAACGTGTAGTTCACTTACTATTAATAACCAGTATGTAATCTATAAAGTATTTCTGTGTCATTCAAGTAGTGGCCAAGATTGCTAATCAATTTACATATATTATTCTTCGTATAATTCTAAATATTCGTTGTACCTCGTTATGATTGGTTTCATTTAACATTATATCAATATTTATCCACAACAGCCTTATAATAATTTAATTGCAATCTCTCATATTCAACGGCTTTTTACTTACTATAGTTATTAATACTGTATGTTTAATTATAAATTTATTTGTTGTTTTAAAATTGGCAAATTATAGTTTTATTAAGTGAGAAGCGGGTCCAAAATATTAATATCGGAACAGATGATTGTACTGCAACAAAACTATAATCAAAGTAGAAGAGCAATATAAACGGCTTAACATGAACTGTATCAAAGCCAATAAAGAAAAAACAAACTCGAATTTCAATGAAATGACAGATATTGGAGTAAATACCCGGACTGATTCTCAAATGATAATCGACATCAATAACTACAAGTAATGTGTTAATTTTAATTATAAAAAATACATTTTCTTGCTATAAATTAAGAAATAACAATGTGACTAGACCTGTATATGGAATTTCGTAGCTTCTTTTGTAAAGTGGTATGTTTTTTTTTTACTTTTTTCCTGTAGTTCTATACCTAATTAATACTACCTGCTAAACTATTTACCATTCTTATGTATTTAAACTAGTGATAGAAATAATTAAAGTTAAGATTTTTTTTTTACATTTTTATCCAAACATTTTTCTTAGGTGCACAGCTTTATTAATAATATTTAATATTTAGATGATTTTCAAGGGGCTTAAATGGCGTTGTTTTGACAAACACGGATTTTCGTAATCCCATCACTAATTTTAATATGAAAAAACATTTTGTTATTATTTGGTATTCTATAGCTGATTTAATAATGTGGTTGCTTTTTTTTTATGTACAATGTAAATATCAAACAAATACACATTATATTTCTACAAAATTTTTCTAAATTTAAATACAACACTTTTTAAACATTTGAGTACAGACAAAAATGCAAATTTCAAAATAACAACGTCCCGAGAATTGGCTATTACACTTTTATGTTTGTTTTAAACAGAAAAACCTATAAATTAAATTCACACAGTTTTAGTAACTGTATTAATTTAGTAATTTTCATTTTTTAAATCTGTTTGGTTTTTCAGCGTTAACAAAGCTGGAATTAAAAGTGAAATACACAAACCCGATGATTATTACCACGAGGCCAGGGAATCGTATAATATTTTCTGAACAACAGAGAATGGACTTCAAGAAACATTCGACGGCAATACTTACAAGTAATATCATTCTTTAAATAGTATATTACTTATTAAAACGACGCATAAAACGTTCTTTTATTTCAATATCTTTTTATAAACTGGAGTGAACTAGATAAATTTTGGTTTTTATTTTATTTTACAAATAACAACACGCATTAGTACAAAAAAGTATTGAAAAAAATAACTATTGTATAGATCAAATTAAACTAATAATAATTAATAATTCTTCATTTGTGTCTTATCTACATTTTTATACTTAATTGTAAAAATTGCATAATAACCTCTAGTTCTCATTAAAACTTTGAATACATGTTTTTTACACTGGGTCTGACTGCACACTCAATCGATCCGTCACGACTAATACTTGTAAATAAGAATTTAACATATTATATTTTTATGAATAGAGATAGTAAACTTTATATATTGATAAAAACACTCGTTTATGATACTAAGATTTTTGTGCATTACATATGCAATGAGACGCAAACAAAAATTATACATAGTTTTTAGCTAATGATTTTCACTAGAAAATATAACATTGGTAATATAGTAAAACCGAATGAATTTTTTATGGTATCTTAAAATAAACATCGTCAAGTTCACTTTTTTTAAATTTCATACACGCTAAGGACTTAAACAAAAAAGTGATGACTATTATCTCATCAATTTATCAATATACAGAACAGTAGTTATTACTTCTATACATTAGTTTTGTATTGAGATAATTTTGCGATAAATGAGATGGCGGTAACTATGGGAAAATGTTTTATTAAGCGTCCTGTCTGATTTTATATACAGTTTAATAGTACCGTGTCAATTTGTCATTATCATCTTTAAAATAATATTTTTGTTTTTTAGTATAAGACAAACAATTGTGAAAAAGGAAGCAGATTTAGTGGAACGAAATTATTTTGAGTCTGATCGAATTTGAAAAACAAGGCCTTTTTGATAATCAAATGTCGAACTATGATTTGGATAAACTCAGGCATTTATTTGCGACCTTTGCCAAGAATCGCTTACTTCTAAGAAGAATGTGGCCCAACATATTAATGAATCACACAGAATCCAGAAATGTACTAAAAAACCTGTCAGAAATACACTTAGGTAATGTAAATTTGCTTTACAAGCGCCAAGCCGGGTAAAATAGAACATGCACTTGACTTTATACTATGTAGTTTGTTATACTATATTAATTTTGTTTAGGTAACAGTGCAAATTTATTTTGCACATGATAAAATATGTTAGGTACACCTACAATGTTCTATTTTACCTGGGTTAACGAAATCCTACTTAAACATACTGTATTTTATAACAGTTTTTAATTTTTAGCAATAAATCAGTTCCGAAGAAAAACAGTATAAAATCAAAAAAGCTGGGGTCGTTCAATTGTGACTTGTGTCAAACGTCGTATTTTACCAAAAGACAAATAACAACACATATATTACGAGTCCACCAACGTTCAACAAACAAAACCTCTACCCAAAAGTGTAAATCTAAATTTCGCAATCAAACACTACATAAACGCGTGGACATTGATGAGAAGCCATTCAAATGTGATTTCTGCAAAAAGATATTTTCTTGTAAAAGTAAGCTTACAACACATCAACGCGTACACACTGGTGAAAAACCCTACAAATGTGATGTTTGCGAAAAGATTTTTTTCTCAAAAAGCTCACCTTACAAATCATGAACGCGTACACACCGGTGAAAGACCTTTCAAATGTGATGTATGTCAAAAGACTTTTTCGGAAAAAGGGAAACTTACAAAACATGAACGTTTGCATGCTAATAAAATTCGTTAGACATTGTGCTTAAAGATTTTTCCAAATTAAAATTATGTAATCACATTCATGTACCTAATTTATTGTCAAATTGCCTACTAAATGTGGCAATTAGTATTGTGGTTGTCTATATAAAATTACTATTTTTATTCTTATTAAGTCAAATAATTAATTTAATTTTTTGTATTATTATATATGAATTGTTGATATATAATATTATTGTGTTAATTATATTTATTGATAGTGTTTAAACTTTGGTATGTTAATAGATGTTTTTTGTAGGCTTATTTAATACTTTAAGTTATGCCAATAATTAAAGAAATAATGACAGTTGTATTATATGAGATACACTGTATTATATTATTATAACAACTTACTATTTATACGTGGTGTCTATACTAATTTATTATTTTTATTGTGAAAATCGATTATTGTTGCTATAAGGTGATCACCATTATTTAATTTTAACCTTTTCAATGGATTTTTTTGAAACTAAAGTAATGAAAAAAGCTAAGTGAAAGTATTGTTAGCTGTTCAATCAACAAAATAACTTTGTGTTAGCCCTCAATTTTTTTGTGGTATTTCTCCACAATGTTGAGTTAATAACGATGTTAAAAATTGGTAACAACCATATTGATAAAATTGAAAACGAAGAATAATTAACCTTAATTAATAATTAGTACTTTATTAAATGTTTACAACAATTTCAGTATTTTATGTAACAATCCTATCACACATTTGATATACTTTTACCAATTTGATTTCTGGAATAAAGCAGAAATTTATGGTTGTATAATTTAATCATACAATAACAAATAAAATATGAATACATATTTTAACTAATTTTAACCCAACTTATTTTATTGAGAGCAACTTTTGAAACTTAAATGTCAACGCATACATTTCATTAACTTTTTAAATTGAGAACAAATTTGCTTTGGAATAAAAACAATTAATAAAAATATGTTTAGCCTCTTCATGCATGTAGGTATCATATGATACCATTACATAATACATGTATTGATAAACTACATAATATGTTTTTTTGGTCCGTAATTGCATAAAAGTATCACTTGTGTACATTTGATAAGAATCATATCACTTTATTTGTTACTAGGTTTATATATAAGAAATAAAACAAATCCAAATGTGATAAAGTACACATTTTACCGGTGGAACTAATGATTTTTCATTATTATACATTAAAATTACAATTTAGAAAAATTATGTACAACACATGATATGTTATAGGGAATTGTTTTTTATTAAGTTTCGGTTCTTTAGTAGTTTAGGAGTTGTATAATTTACGTAAATATATGTAATTTGTTAATAATTGGAACTTAAAGAGTTCTGGTTAATGATATTAACCACTAGATTTGAAGTTAAACAAAGTGACCAAAAAATATATACATTTTTGTAATATTAAGCTGGTTTGCCCCACTTTGGGTTAGTATTTATTTGACTAGTTTTTTATTTGTTTTTATCAAAAAATTTGTTATTAAATCTCTCATATAATATATATTTATGCAATATGTAGACTTTACTGTTCCTTTGTTTTTTGCTGAATTTAAATTTAATAATAAAAAAACTCGTCTTTGCTTAATTAATTAAATTAAACTTATTGTGTAAATATTAGTATATTTATAATTATTGTGAACACACCAACGAAAAATGTATGTTTATGTAATTCGTTTTATTAGCGATAAATCATTTTAAATTTATATTGTATTGTACTGTGTGAATATTTTTATTTTATTTGTTATATAATTTGTGTGATAGTTAATTTTATTTTGACGATTGTGAAGTCAGGAAAAAGGTTCCTGTTAATTATTTTTATATTTTTATAAACATTTATTCTAAGTCATTATAAAATATATTGGTAAATGAGTTTTGGTTTACATCACTGTATTGCACACAATCCCGTTTATGATTTAGTAATTTAATTTTAAGAAAACGGTTAAGGAACTTATATTTTATGAAAATAGTAAATATTGGTTAATCGAAACGTTGATTAAAAAATAAAGTTGAATAATTAGTATTCAAAAATGTAAATAAATATAGTGCGTATTAATTAATAATATAATTTTTTTAAGTAAAATTGTATGTGAAAAACAGTAATTTTTAATGAACACTTTTTGGACTAAACCTCTTATAAATTATAATCGATTCATGATTATAGTGAGCATTCTCTTTATTATTAAAAGTCGAAACACACAATATTATAATATATTATGTGCGGGTAAAAAGCATAATGATAAAGCGTTAAATTACACTGTATTTGTCTTTTGACAATATTCTTTGGTAAACACAACACTTATTAGCTATGCTACGATTATGGATACGGAAGCGATTCCTTAGAAGAAGAGTGACAAATTTGTGTAATAATTACAAATACTTGTATAAAACCAGACATATAAATGTGAGCCCCTCTCCCCCCCCCGCAGGGGTAAAGGGGATTTTACAAAAAAAGTATTTTTATATGTGTACATATGTAAATAAACGATGGATAATGAGGGGGAGTCATGTTCTCCCTCATTGTTCTATATTTAACAAAAAAAAAAAAACACTTGATCCAATATTAAGAAGGCCCAATTAAGAAAGGCTTAATCACTGTATAATAAATTTGACTTTAGTTTAAACATAATAATAATGATTGGTAAACAAAATAAGAAAATATATACAAAGCTTGTGATTTGTTAATAAATTAATTTTGGTCGGTACAACTTTTTTTTAAACGTTCTTAAATTATATGTAATTCAATGTTTATGCAAATATTTTTTTCATGTTTGGCTTTAGCATAATATAAACAGTTTTGGCAGTACCTATTTTACATACTATATTACTGTTGTATGTTTATAAAATTAAAGTTAAGAGTTTGTATATTTATATAAAAAAAAAATTGCATTACAATTCTTTCGGCATTTATAAAATTATTATTTTTAATTATCTAGGCATCTTTAAACTATAAATTACGTTATAAAAATTGATAGATGTGTATAAAAAAACCAATTAAATGGTATAGCCTTGGCATTGGCTTTAACTCCTGGAGGTTGCTTGGGCATCAGACCCATTGGCGGAGTACTTGGACCCATGCCCGGTGTTACCGGTCTTCCGGAAGCGGGTACCATCATACTACCGGGAGAAACTTGTTGCACAGTTGGTTTTAAATTTTTATCTATGCTCCCACCAGATATATGAGTATGCAAATCGGCCATTGATGAAGTTTGATTGATACCAATCTGCGCGCCGGTTTCTACTTTCCACTCTTCCCTGGACTTGGATACCAAATCCAGCACATAGTTCACGACTTTATTGAATGCCGTCAACTGCTTTAACGCCGTCTCGTTTTGTAGACTACCAGCTTTATGTTCGACCTGTGCAAAATGTTATTAAAAATCCGCATAAGCTACCTGCATAAGTTTATGTTCGACTTCGGGTTAGGTTTTGGTACAAAGAAAATCCGTCATAACGTCATGCGATAACGCTGGTACACGGTTTTCGGTAATGCGTACCAAATCTTCGTCCCGTTCAGTGTTTAACATGAGCGGCAAAATCGTATGGTTACGAAGCTGCGGTATTTTCTCGTGTGATAGATACTTCATGTTGGCGGTGTACTTAGTAGAAAATACAGCACATGTATCGAGCACGGTCGTCCAACTAATACTGTCTCGTTCCAATTCCAATTTCAACACAAGCGAAAATATCTGAGCTTTGAATTGATTTAACTTATTGTGGACATTTTCAATCGCCAACTCCAATTTGTTTGTCTTCGCGTTGTATTTTCTTCAATTGTTCGTTTGTCTTGAAGTAATTTTCACTTTAAAACTATTAAGTTTTTTTGTTACAATTAATTTTAAACCAGCCTTTTTATTTCAACATCAAAATATTACAAAACACAGTACCTCCACTTTATCACTCAGCAACGTTTAATACTGTTATCACCTTATCAATTGATTGTTATCAACTCATAGATACCCAAGGTAGACCGCAGAAGCCAGAACTAAATATTAAAATAATAATATACTTACTGAAGTCTGAATGCTCTAAACTTTAAGTCTAAAGTCTACTATGACCATAAAATATCAAATAGTTTATTATTATTACATCTATAGAGTAATAGAGTAAAAACTACTCTATAATATTATGGAATATACTATAAAATATCATTTGAAAAAAACTAAAATATAATAATATAAAATGTTACTAGTCAAAAATATTAACATCTCTATAGGATGTTTATTGAACTAACTAAAGATATATTTTACCCTTTTATTTTTTTTTAAATTTGGAAAAGCTTTTTGGCTCTATAAGCAAGAAAAGACCATTGCTAGCCGTGTAACAAACAACAAATTTCCTGCTTGTCTGTCAATATTGCAAAATTATTTTTTAGGCTGGTAAAAACAACTGAAACGTATGACAAAAATTCTTATTCTATACCACCACCTTTTACCCGTCAACTATTTATTCATTCTAAATAATATAATATTGATTCCCAAATTCACAAACTTTCTGTAAGACACTATTTTAATAAATTCTATAACAAAAGAATTCTTTGTGGAGAAGGCATATTAGATAGAGAAACAGGATTATAATAAGACCCTCTTTTTCTTTGACAAGCACTATAGTTCACCAGGATACATTGCAAAAATTATATTGGCAGTTGAATTAATGATGTTAAGGTTTTAATGAAAAAAATATTTTATTGTTTAACTATTACCATTAGCGATGATATAACCATAAATTAACTCAATTAAGTTATTGTTATCAAGCTGAAATAATTAATAATAATTACTATTAACTTAGCATTTTAAACTGTCTTTTAATTTCAATCGTCCGTCAGCGTCCAGCGATGACATTTCTTAAAGATACTTTTATTATTACAAGACTCGACTTTTCTCTTTCATTGTCAATTTATTATTTTTTTTCGTATTTTAATTTAAATTATCTTTAATTGCACATTGTTATCGTTGTACCTTGCACATACTACATTATACTTGGGGGCTCAACCCGTAACAAATAATAATAAAAGCACTAGAGAAATTTATATCTAATTTTGTAAAATAAATGTTAAACTTGTCAGTGTCATTCAAAACAAAAAAAGTAACTAATATAATTAATTATTATTATTATAACATTTGGTGTAAAATTGTAAACAATTTTTTTTAATTTGGCACGAGTTCATGACATTTTAATATCACATTGATCGTAGCATTAAATTTTCCTTATTTATATAGTTCAAGAGAATAACACATTTATGATAAAAAAAAAATATATTTTAAGCAATATTAAATTGTTTAAAATTATGTCTTTTTAAACTGCAAAAATATTTAAACATTTTTCAGCACAATTTTTAGATGATTTATAAAGAACTATTTTAATCATCTTCTTCTGGCCGTGTCCAAGTCGATAAGATTCTAATGTTGATTTTTTCTCATATATTAAGTTCTTTTTGGAATCTTGCTAATCACCCGTTATTAATCTTATCATATTTTTCTTTAAGCACACACTATTTTTATCTATGCGTATGGCGTTAGTAGTTCTAATGGTCATATAGTTTTGAGTTGAACCGTCATTTCATCACTCCTTTTCTATGATCGTCGTCAGGTCCTTCATAGTTTTGTTAGTAACACTTGTACTAAGACCTTGTCAAAATAGGATACACTATTCTATATTTTTGATTTGTTCGAAGCTTTTCAGAATTCTTCTTCTCTGACAAATAATGGAAATGGCGATGTAAGATTTGTAAATAGATCGGAAGCTGAGGATTTTGACGCGTTACTTTTATCCAAATTTGTATTTATGTTATAATCTTTTTCAAGAACTTTCTGGCCTGATGACTGTGAGAACAAATCGTTAAGAAATTTATTAGACTCCGAGTTTTCCACATGGTTATGCACCGTAACATTATCGTAGAGCACGTTGTCCGAGTTTGTACGCTCCTCGGTTTTCACTGTAGTATTTTCCGATTGATTACAGGACTTGGTGCAATATTGGTCTGTAGATAAATTCTTATTATTGAAATGACTGGTCGAATGACGTTTAAGTTTTTCTTTTGTTACAAATTTTTTGCTACAGTTGTCGCATTCGTAAATCTTATTCGCGACATGCCCATGATTACTGAGCATGTGACTGTATAAGGATAATTTAAAACGAAATGATTGTGCACACCAATTGCACACATACTTTTTGAGATTCATATGACTAGCTGTGTGAGTCTTCAAAGTCGACCGCTGATTAAAACATTTGCCACATGTTTCGCAGAGAAAAGGTTTCGATTCACTGTGTATCAATTTGTGACGATTTTTGTGGCCGTTAGATCGGAACCTTTTCGAGCATATTTCACAAACGTACGACTTTTTGGTGTTGTCGTTCTCCGATTTTGTGTCGTTGCTTGTCGGTGAAATAACCTTGGCCGCCTGATCGGAAATAAACAAGCAGCGAGGACATAATACTCTCGATTCGTCTTTGTTTGGTAAGAACAAACCGATATCATCAGTGTGGCCACATTCCTTGCATCGACATTGTACGGTTGCGAGTCCACACGTAACTATGTACAGTGTAAGTAAATCGTGAGGTTTTAATATTGAATTACATTCATCGCATTGTATTTGTCCATTGCATTCAACAGATATGACCACATGACTGTTGTCTTTAGTAACACCAGTTGTATGACATAGTAATCGTTCAAACTCATTAGCGTTCTGAACCTAAAACATACAAATCAAATCTAAGTATTACAAAAATGGTTCACATATTTATTCATTTAAAAATAATGCAAGTATGAAAATCGCCTTATCTTTATGCAAGTACTAGAAAGCAAACATATTGCAAGAGCGAATAATTATGTAACGGACATTAACAAAAACTTATATTCCACATACTGTAACGTTAAGACTCCGTTGGAATAAAGCAAAAAAAAAAAATAGTTATAAACAGTTATTATTTGATTTTTCCATATTAAATCATTATTTAGGCGTAAAATGTATTTACGTAGATATTATGACTGTTGAAATACACTAAATAATAATAGTACTAAGCTTATCTCATTTAAAATGTTAAATCATTTAACTAGTAAGTAATATCCAGAACAAAAAAAATACTTTTTTCCTTAATAATATTCACTTTACTAATTATGTTAAAATATAACGTTACCATATTGATTTAGTTCAAAATATTTTACAAAAGTTATTACTTGAGTGATTCTCGATTTGCTGTTAGTCTGATTTCGTTTGATTAAATCTGTTTGCGTCCTTTTAGTAAGTTCCATAAAGTCCATAAAATAATTGATAATCAATTCACATTCCGAGCATATAAACTGAGATAAACTATCGTCGGATGAAATATTTATCACCTAAAAATTATCATTTATAGGATAGTGAAAAATAAATTAAATTACGAATAAACAACAATTGATATCACTTACGGTTTTTGGAAACAAACAAGAAATTTTATCCAAGATGCCACAGGAAATGGCTTCTGTGCTAAATAAACTTTTACCGACGGTTTTGTCGAGACCGCAAAATCGACAAGGTTCTTTGTTATAATCCGAAAACTGAAATTGATCCATGGCAAAGTGTTGACAGACAGCTACAGGAATAATTTTAATGGCAGGGTAGAATAATAATAATTGCTACTTAATAGTTAATATATTGTTATTGTAATAATAAATAATGAATAAATAACATGTCAAACGGTTAATAATTTTATGATAACATTACAAAACATTTCAGTACAAAATCAGTACGAATAACGCACTGAGTGACAAACATCATTACAATGTAAGAATTTAAACTTTACTATAAAAAGTAAAATCTAAAAATCTTAAAATTATTTTTCTTATAACAATAAATGATTTTCGCTGTTATCTGTAAATAGAAGTAAACAAAAAAAACGACTGATAACATAATCAGCAAAGAGTAGGTTATCATTTAGCCAATTTTTTTTATTTACTATACCGAACCATTAACAATTGAATTCTGACTAACTTTTGCCTAATTAAATGAATAAAATTATAAAATCAAGGTAAAAATATTATTTTATAGGGTAGCTTAAAGGGTAATCTTTCAAAGTGAAGTTTATCCACCAGTTAGTTTTATTTTTATTTGGTAAATTATTACATTTTTTGTATTGGTAATTAAATGCATAGGTTGATATTTGACTTTTGAAGCTCGTTCCTTAATGTTATAATTTTAATATTAATTTTTGCTATAGTTATTAACCATTTTATTTGTATCAAATATTGATTAGGATTAGGATTCGATCATAACCTACCAAAATATTATATTTTTTAAGTTAACGATCATTTACACCGAGTTAACAAAGTGTTTTAGTTGGACTAGAATATACATAAGTAGTTTCACCTTGTTCCTAAGAGGAAAAGAAAACACCATTTTAATAATTTGTAATGCATATAATATATATAACAGCCTCTATATTTAACTTGATAACTTTTTATAAAATTAAAAAAGAAAAATGTAGATGAAATTTCGAATAGAGGAAGTGAATCGTATAAAGAAGCTGGCAGTGGATGTTGTAAATGAGAATCAAGGTTTATAAAGCAGGATAAGAAAACGGTGGTTGGATAATTTTACACAGGTAATAGTATTAAAGAATATATCAGGTATAGGTTTACATGTCATACAGGTTAAACCTCGAAGAAGTATAATATTTTTTAGTTTTTAATATATTAATCATCTCCGTATAGAAGCATAATATAATTATTTTTTTTTGTATATATTTTTCTAGTATTATTAAAAATTAACCTGCGTCACTTATAGTTATCTTATCTATTTAATCAACAAAAAAACGAGTTATTTAACATTTTTATAAAGTTTTAATGTTTGAATATAACATTTACAAATCACACAAATAGTACAGTAATCGATTAAAACAAAAATAACCCACACACCCTTTAGAATTTTATGAATACATATAATTAAAATTAAATAAGCTAACAGCATACTTTTTTTAGTGATTAATTAAATACTTTAAATAGTTTGGAATAAAAGAATATTAGAATATAGTGAACGACGGTAAGACGTTGTAGTAATTTTGTAGCCCTGAAATATTGATAAAAAAAAAATTAATTTACAATGTGATTATAATACAGTATATGTAAATTATGTAAAACGTCGTAATATCCGTCGGTGGGGGATGTCACCGTCTTCAGGAATTGTTGTTCTTATAATCAAATGTGATAAATTTACAAAAAAAATACTTTATAAAACGGTAATGTGCATACAACTGTATTACTTTTAGTGTTCATAGTTTGTCTACAATTATTTTCTATCGTGACCAGTATATTGTCGTAACTAACATCATATTAAAACTATTTCTCAGATACCTGTTGACCGTAGATCTACATTCTACTCTAACAATAATCACTATATTTTCTTTGGATTTGCAGGCTAAAGCCCAACTCAAGATTCAGTCAAGTTTCTAGACCTCGGTCAAAAATGTAGTAAAATTAAATTAAACAAAAGTATGTATAATCTTTCTGAGCTTATTGGTTTTTGATATTTTATATCCCGACAATATTTTGTATGCGATTTTCGTAGCCAAAGATAGTAGGTAAAATTTGTATAATGATCGTTGAAATTTTGTTTTTAAAAAAAATTTAGTATTTACTAAATACACACCAGCTGTACATACAGCTTTTCCTCAACATATTGTAGCTGAGAAGGTAAATTGTTTTGTGCATGGACGTAGCATAGACAAAAAGTTCATTCTTTCCCCTTTAAAATCGATATAAACATACGAATATTGTACACATCTTACTAACTTGAAATTTGGACGCTCCACGACTTTTATAATATTATGTTTTTATGTATTTTTTATGGTATCAAATTTTTGGATAATGTACTATCGATAAACGTTGACAAACCAACCACATATAAGACAAAGATAGGTACAAATTATCATTATTTCTCATTCTGAAGGTAAAACTTCCCTTCCCCCTTCAATGTGCTCTGTTACCATTATGCCTGATCCCACAGTACTGGGGTATTAATAAATAAGCAAAAACCAAAACCATACTTTATTAATAAAAAATGTACTGTTAAAAAGGTGGAATAATTACTTGCCTAGAGGCGGCAAAGTTTTAAACTCTCCACCGGCTGATGTTGTAGCGTCCACATGTTTCAATTGTTGTCTGTAGATCTCATTAAACTTTTAAATTCCTTTCTTGTCATATGTTTCTCTAGAAATCATTATAGAAGTATTCATGTTATAAATTACCAAACTACATTAACCTGTAACGAATGGACTGGTTATAATATTATTATTATTGCGTTTTTATGTACAATACTTGGCCATAACAACATCGTTGTACAACATCAAAGTGATTTTTAGTTTTTCCAATTTCACATATTATTATATAGGTATTTTACAACATCTTTTACTGAATTCTTATTATTTAACTTGCCCTTCAAGGATCCAATTATCCCTTCGACTTCCCATTCATTTAGTCCATAATTGTGGCGTTCCTTTTTGAAGTAATTTCTCACTCCATCCTTGGTAACATTTTTAGTTGCTCTCGAGCCAAACCTCGTTTTTTCCACAGTTGATTCCCTTTTTTCAACCACATTATAAATTGTGTTGAGTTCCTTAAATCATAACATTTTTATTGTTAAAATATAATATGAATACTCCTATTATAGAAAGAATGTGACTATTATTCACTAAGTTAATAGAGTATTTTTTTCTAATGAATCATATTATATTTAGATAGAAAAAATTGAAATTACCCCATCGGTAAATTTCTGATTCATTGCCGATTGAAATGCGTTTAATGGCATATGATGAGCTAGAAATTATTGGTAAGTTATTTGCATTAAAATTTACCAAACTATATTATGTTGTAACGAGTTGATTGATTGCAATTAATATTATAGCGTTTTTATGTACATTATGTGACCATAGAGGGTATTGCCAAAAGCAATCTAAAAACGACAATTTTATTCGTTCGCTTGTTTAATTTTTAAATAATAAATAAAAAATTACAAGAGAAATGTCGTAAAATTAATATTTCAATATTAATTACAAATATTAGACTAGTCATTTAATATTATATTTACAAAACTTCAGCGTAATAGTATAAGTACCCCTCAGAAATGTTGTAAAAAAACATACTATCGATAATAACATCAATGTGTTATTGGTTATTTACATTTCACATATTATATATTTTACAATACCCATTACTGAATTATTATTATTCAACTTACGCCCCATACGCAGTATTATCTTTTCGACATCATTTTCATCTAGGTTAGGCTTGTCTTCATCAAGGTATTTTCGTACTGAAGCTAAGGTAAATGATCCATGTGCACATGGTATACAAAAAGGATCAGCTACTTTTTTCGCGCGTACCTCATCTTTGTCTACTACCTTTTTATAAAAGTCGGCGATTTCCTAAAATCATTACATTTTTATTTTGAATACACTATGTGAATATTACTATTATAGAAATAATGTGTCTCGAATTATTAATAGTATAATATTCACTAGATTTTAGAGTATTTTTTTAAATTAATTCACATTACCAGATAGAAAAAAATCAAATTACCTCTTTACTAAGTGTTGCGTTAGCTTCTAGACTATAAAAAAACATTAAAAAAATAATAGTAATATATTTAAAATACATGATTTTATATTTTCTTGAACGCGTAAGACACTTGATGTTTTACAGGGATTTAAAACTTTAATGATTCTTATTCTTTCGAATGGCTGTTGTTATTGCGTTTTTAGTGTAAAACTTAATAAATACATGTATACACTTTGTTTGTTCAATTTAAACCACGTACAGCAATCGGGGCCGCTCATCATAAATAAACGGTAGTTGTTTTGCTGTTTTGACAAATTAAAAAAATGTTTCTATTACCCGTTTACACAATCGCCTTACAACGAAATGAAATTTTTAAGCTTTTTGTACAACTAAAGTTTTATAGAAAAACGACTTTCTTTCAAATCACTTCCATATTAATACTTGGTATTTTTTTGGACGTATATTATACTACTAACCGTTGTTTAGTGGTCGTTACTAATTAGTTTTAAGAATTATGTACTATCGACAAACCAATAACATATCGAAAGCCCTTCCCATCAGAAGGGGTTGATATTTTTTATCATGATGAATATAAAAAAACATTAAAAAAATAATAGTAATATATTTAAAATACATGATTTTATATTTTCTTGAACGCGTAAGACACTTGATGTTTTGCAGGGATTTAAAACTTTGATGATTCTTACTCTTTTTAATGGCTACTGTTATAGCGATTTCAGCGTAAAACTTAACAAATACATGTATGCATGTATATATATATATATATATATATATATATATATACATACATACATACATACATATTATGTTTGTTCAATAATAATCGAGGCCGTGTATCATAAATAGTACTTGTTTTGACGAACACAACAAATTTTTCTGTCACCTGTTTTCACAACCGTCTTATAACAAAATTATAGTTTTTAGCTTTTTGTACACCAAACGTTTTATAGAAAAGCGTAAGAATATTGTGACCGTCTGCATGAACAATTACTATTTTTTTTTTTATTATATTAAATTATTAAAAAAAATTACCAACAATAGTTGATCTCTAATTAGAGATCAACAAATTACAAAAGTCCATACGAAAAATGTTAATATTGAGGTATAAAATATTATAAATGCCTTACTAGGATTTTATAATTGCTTAAATAAAAATAAATAACCACCAAATATAATAATAATTAAAAGCGTTTTAACTTTGGAGACTTTAAATAATATAACTAGGTCAATTTTAAAGATGTTGTTTTCTTTTTTGGATATATTTCTTATTCAGTGCATTTGTGTACGCCTAACAGATAACTGTTTGAACAAGCATACAATATAATAAAACAAAATATATGTTTTCTTCTTATTTAAATAAATACCACAACTTAAAACGTGTGTTTTAGAACTTTTACGGATACGAATGTAAATGTACAATAACTTAGAAAATAATAACAACGATAAAACCATATAATATTTTCGAAAGGTTTTAAATTAATAGAAAAACCCAATTGAAAAATTGTTCATGACCGGATGTAGAGATTTTTAGGTGTCCTAAGAATAATTATTGCAGCAATAAGGATAAAAATAAGATACATTTTTATGAAAATGAAAATTGTAGTTTTTGTATTATTATTTATTTAGTTTACATATTTTATCATAAAAATAAGCATATAAATTACAATTTTATTTTTAAATATTTGGTACACACAATATTTATCCACAAGAGTAGTTATCGACCAGTATTATTTATTAATTATATTATTATTTGTTGTTTAACGGTTATGTACTTACTGCAATTACTGGATTGTTCCAATAACAAATTCCACATAACACATTTTGTTATCAAGTACATAATATTTTATGTCTTGCACTGTGTCATGTTTACAAATAAAAAAAATAATTACCGAAATACTAAAGTAGTAGTTTTTACCTAGTCTATTCTAACTATTTATTTCTACTTCTGATACCTCCCCTTTTTTTCTAACTTTATTAAATTTCTATGCAAATGCTAGTGACAGGTTCATTGTTATTTATAATTATTTTACAGATATTAAGTGTTGAGGTAACATAACCATTTTGGAGTTAAGAACATCCATTTTAACATTATTAAAGCAATTCCCTAGCTGGCCGATCACATTGGTATTGGATACGATTTATATCAGGACAGTTCAGGGCACAAAAATTAATCCTACATATTTTAAATTGAAAATCACGTTAATTCCAATTTATTACTCAACACATTATTGTGTGCTATATCCCAAATTTTTAAAATTGTTTAAATGGTTGTGTATTAATTCAGAGAGCGTTTTGTGTGGCCTATTGCATATAATATGTTATTTACAAAAAAACTAAAAAAAAAAATTAGACACTAAAATCAATGAAAAAAATTTGGTGTTTTTACACACAATATTTTAAAGTCTACTATGTACTAACGCATTTGATAGAACGAAAAATCTGAGTACATAGACCATTTTTGAGTATTTTTGTGTGTATTATTATTACTCACGTGTTGTTCCATATCGACTCGAATTTAAGGTAAATAAGACGCAAACAAAATATTACCAACTTGGTGCAGTTTACACACTTTATCGTTTGTTATAATATTATACTGCGCAACGAAAAATTGGAACCCAAATTTGGGCCTCTAGTGGATGAGTTCTGTACTCCTCAGAAAATAATCGGTGTAAAGAATATAACAATGTTAAAATATTATAATATTATCTTCCGGTTTTGAGAATTAAAGAGTTGAATTTTTCTAGACTTTTTTCGACCCAACAAAGTATCATCCGCATACGAATTCGGATCTATAGATGTGTTACCCGAGAAATTCGGTCCATAGGAAAAAAATTATATTAGGAATTGTTCCTACAATATGGAAAACTATTTTTATAAACCCTGTTTAAAAATCAAGCGATAAAAATCATGTTCAAAACAATAGACCTATTTCTAAACTGTCGTCGCTTCCTAAAATCCTAGAAAAACTTTTAAATATGCTATCCCTCTATAGTGTTTTTAAAGAATATCATAAATTCTAGCCCACGTGGTTTTATTAAATAAAATATTTTCCCTAAAAGTGACCGAAAAATTGTCTTAGAATATTTTTTTTAACCGTATACAAAGTATACTGTATAGTGTAATTCAAATACATGTAAAATTGGTTTTGTATTTTTCAAACGAAAAAATCTTTTCTAGGGACATAATATACTGCCAAAACCAAAAATAAATTGTTTTTCTGTGAAATGTTTTCGTATTTGAAACATTTGTACAAATAAGAACACTTACAACGAAAACAACAACAGTTAGGAACAACTCATAAGTGTAATTTATGAGTTAAGCCGATAAATATATTTTTTCACAAAACTTTGCTTAATCAAAATTATTTTGGAACTTTTTAACTTAGGCAAGTACCTACTAATATTTGCCACAGCTCCTTTTTATTGGTAATTTGTTTTATATAGTACCCAATGAAGCATGATAATTAATATTTGCTCTAAATTGAACGGTGTACAATTGCGCCCCACATAAACATATTTATTGGTGTCTATTGTTGAAAAAAAAAACTAAGAATTTATAATCAATTCTAAATTAAAAAAAAAAACCAATCAGTTTTTTAAGGGCGGCAAATTTCTTATGCCCAGAGCGGGCAATATAGCCATAGAGGATCCATGGGACATATTATATTCATATGGCATGTGCATATATCGAGTGTTTTTTTTATATTGCTTGTACGTTTTTTAAAAGCCATACCTGATACCACATTATTTGATTTGAATATACGAGTACCAATAAAAATGCATAACATTGTAAAGCCAAAATTTACAAAAAAATCAATAGCGACTCGATAGCTACGTGTGTAGCTAGATGATTTTTTATAACTTGACGCTGTCAGGTACAACATCATTTTGCCGTTTATTGTACTCACTTAAGATTTATTTTATTAGAAATACTCATTGTTAATTATTTATTTAAAACCCATCCTGTTTTCTCTTACCCCTTTTAGTTGGGGAAGGTAAACGTTACCGTCTAATAAAGCGAATCGTTACAACTCCGTAGGTACAATGTTTAGTACATTTTATAGTAGGCTAAAATTTAAATGTTTTGACCAACGTGTGGTTTATTTATTATTATTTTTTTCTTGACGTTTTAGACTCAAGAGCCTGACGTAATTAAGCCAACTTAAGATAGTTCGATTTCGATTAGAATCCGATTATTCTAATTGTAAGTAGGCGTAATTTAGTCAGGCTTCTTTTAGGGCTAAATTTGTTACTTGTAGGATCACAATGGCTTTTACACGTAGAAAATATTGTATAATAGTTAAAAATGATATCTGAAGAAATAATACAAATTAAACAGAAAACAAATTTACACGGTCAAAATTTATTAAAACCATTTCCCCTTAAATGTCGCCTATATAAAACCGCCTGCATTGAAATTCTTTACAGTTTAAGGATATCATTGAGCAATTGATATTACCTTACTTGTACAAATTGCGCTTTATTTAGCTTTCTCTATACCAATAATTATTATGCATCGGACGAGAGATTTCTAGTAAAACAAAATTAAAATTCGATATTTAAATAAAACTAATTAAAAATGTTTAATATAAACATTTTGTTATCTGGTATAGACCAATAGCGTAGGAGAGAGAGAGAGGTCCGAGGGTCGATATCGTTAAAAAGAGATAGAGAGATTTGTTAGGTATCCCATGGAAAAATACCTCTTTTTAACGATATCGACCCACGGGCCTCGCTCTCTCTACTATCAGTCCATTTGTTTATAAGTCTTTCTTTATCAGCCCCCAGCTGTTATCAGTTATTGCACACGTCACAATATAATATCATTATCAAATTGTAGCATAACATTTTCTACTTTCTTTGTTTGCAATTTGTATATTGTAATATAATTTTAAAATTCAAATTTCTGTCCAGCCCGTAATGAGCCTGATTTATTTTATGAGTTAACGCAATTAATAACGATTGTTTACAATATATTACAATAAAAAAATATTAAATTGAGTGCGTGATTTTATAATATTAGTGTCTAGATAATTGTGCCCTGGCCATCAGCATCTTCCTAGCTGTACCTATACAAATTGTAAGTACCTTGAAAATTCATAAGTACCATTAAAGTCCGTAATGCCGTTTTCACACGCGCACACCGGTAGGTCTGGTGTCGGCTGTAATGTAATCGAACGACCGCTTTTTCACATTGTGTAAATTAAATGTTTTTTAAATAAATTATGAAAAAATAATTCCAATAACGTTTTATTCAATTAAATTTTTTTTCTTAAAAGAATTTGCACAACCCTCCTTACTAGTAATTGTAATGTTAATATTGGGCCTCATTTGGTGATTATAACCTTTATTTTGATATTAATTTACATTCTTTAAATTATCTCTATACTATGATATCCTTTTACCAATCTAGTAAATATCTTTAACATTTCAAACATGATCGGTAAAAATGAATAAACATGTTTGTACATAGTTATTGTTAGTTTTGTCCTTTTCAATATTTATGTAATAATTAATAAAGTTTACTATCTGCGTATTATTCTGCTACAATTCTCTTGTCTAGAAAAAACCTAAAGCAACTTACGGTTATATATAATGGGAATATAATATAATTCAAAATCTAAAAGTATGGTTTGGGAATAGCGCATTAGAGTTGTTCCATGTTGCAACCGACTAAGTAGGAATTACAATTTGTTAGAAAATAGACTAATATGTTAGTTTGCCAACTGTCGGAGTGTTTGAATTGGTAGATAACAACTGCTTGTTTATTCTTAATTTAACTAAACGATTAGTACACAAATTATTTGTTCCGACAAGTAAAAAATAAAAATAAAAATTGTACCTTCATCTTAGATTATTATTAGTCGTATCTCGATAAATTTCTAGCATTAAAAAACGGTGAACAATTTTTTTTCTTATTTGTTTTAAGAACAAAAAAAAAACAAAACATAATTTCTAATTAGTATTTAGCATGTTCTCTGTGTATCATTTTTGTATGCACTGTGAAAAATTAACTTTTTAAAAAGACTGAAAAACTAGTAGACTTAAACAATTAATTCTATGAAATTATTAATAATGCTGACAAAAATAACAAGCTTGTTACTTAATGCTGTCTAAATTGTATCCAATTCCTACGTTTAGCTATTTTAAATGTTTTTAATAGTTTATCACACGTGCGATAGTCGCAATTATGCACAAGTTTCTATAACACATAGTGGGTAATTAAAAGAAAAATGTTACATTACAATAGACAGGTCTAATGACATACAATTACTAAAACCTTCGGTTTATAGTTTGTGATGTTAGTTTCTTAACTCCAATTAATTAGTTAACTTACTCTAGCAGATATGCATAAAGTTTAGTTATTTAATTGTTTTTTTTTTTTTATAATGTACACATTGTGAAAATAAAATAATATTTATAGGTAAAAGTCTTATAAATATCAACCAAATATTTATAAACTAGTATATGCTATATACAAAAACAATATTAATAAAAACATAATAACTCATAAGGCATGATTTCATTAAACTAAATCAAGAGTACAGTCATTTAACAGACTAATTTTTGTTCGAGATTTCCTTGTCGAACATTAAACACATATTTACTCAAATTAGGTTTTATTTTTTAAAACAATTTAAACACTGTCTTAAACTGTTTAAGAGACAATATCTAACTTATTTAAAAATGCATGACCAAATATGCCATTAATGATAAAATCATAATATCGGTTAAGATCAATTCATGTTAAACTAAATTAAATATTTCCTCATAAAACAATCAAGAAAATGCTAAAAATTGTCAAAATTTAAGTAGATATAAGAAATATATTTGAACTAATTAACAAATTATTATAATTATCTTTAGAAACTGTTTAACATGGATAACCTCAAACCGATACATTAAATTATGAACTAAGTTAGTAATTATTACACATACATTTGTTGGAAGATTATTTTGGTAAATAACATAAATAATAAATAATTTAATAGATAATTGAAGAAAAAGAAAAATTTGAAGTGTTAAGTACAAAATATGTTCAACACAATACTTAAAAAACCTATGCAACGCCAATAAAAGTAGTGGTTGTCTAGGTTAGGTACTGATAATTATTTTATTTTAATAAATTGATTTTAAAGTAGGTTGCTATATTATTTTTTGGTTATATTTTCAATCTTAGTCATATTAAAGTAAAAACGTGTAACGGTAATCATGCCGTAAGAGTAAAATAAATTAAATGATTTACTATTGTGTATATGGGTTCTCTTTAGATATCTTTCAAATAATAGAACATAAATACATTATACAGAATTAGTACAATGCACAGCTCATTGTCATAAGTTGACTGTAAATATATTTTTTTAAATTCCATATTGTGCAGTTTGATTTGAACTGAACTTGGTAAGCAAATAAAATATTTCAAAATTACAAGTAGTTATCTAAAACAATACATAGCAAACAAATTGCTTGAGTACCCATTTTATAATTTAACACCCAACTTGTTTAAATCTTACCTGAAATCGGTCAACGACTAATAGAGTAAATAAAGACAGTAGTCACTGTGTTAAAAGTTGAAAAAATTTCAAACAAAAGTTATCATGAAATCGATTTCAGTAGTGTCGAATAACATTATTTTAATCTAAAATTTAATTAAATAGACTTGCAAATGAAAACAAGTTGTAAGTACTTGTTAATCCTAATTGTTTAAAGTTAAAACTATTACTAAATAGGTATAGACTACAGTATACGGTATACACCAGCCGCTAAAGTAAGCAGATATTAATGAGTATTTTAACTTTTAAGGTAAACCGTTTACGACAATGCATGTGTAATCATTTATTGATTTCTCATAATATTGTGTACAGTGAATAAAATAGTAGAATATTCTCTAATCATTGTATGTGAAATGAGGAGAGGTACAGCAATAGAATGTACCATTCACCTAATGGCCTACTTTCAGACGTTTAGATGTATTCCGAGTACCGACTACCTGTACAAAATATACAATAACTAAAAAAGTGCGAACGGTCGTCGTTGGTAATGAGAATTAATGTATTGAAGCGCTCCAATTTGTAATCTTTAAATATTAATAACTCGCCAATGCATTATGCTAACTAATATTTTTTTGCTAAATTTTTTTTTTTTTTAGTTTTGAACCATAATTAAAAAAAAACCACATCCCATTTGTAAATCAAAAGTTGCTATCAAAAAAACTAATTTGAGAGGGGTATAGGAACATAAAAATTTGTGGAAAATTGAGATCACATTATATAAAAACATTATAAAAAATAAAATGTATTTATTAATTAAACCCAGTTAGATATTGAATGGTTCACGATAAGTTGATTACCTTGTATATATTAATATTTTATCTGTATTATTTGTAACTTTTTTTTGTTTAAATATTGGAAAATTATAGTTTATTGCATCAAAACTGAAAACCATGATCAAAGTAGAAGAAGAATATGAACAATCCCAAGAACATATCACCAAAGTCGATGAAGAAAAATCAAAATCCACTTTTATTCCTGAAAATGAAAAGTCAAATAATGGTGTAGTGCCCCAGACCTTAAATGAAGTCAATACTTACAAGTAATATAATATTTTAAATACAAGAAATACATTTTGTTTTAAACATTAAGGAAAAATAGTGTGATGAAGTGGTTATTAGTTTTTCATAGCAATTGTTCATCAAAAAATGATCATATAACATCCTATAGCAGCTTAGATAAAGGGTTGTTCTCATTTACAATAATGATTATAATTACTAATATGTTACTATATTTTTTACGTATTTTTGAAGTATAAACTCCGTAATTATGCAGATAAAGTGATCTAATGCAGTGAAGCACGCAAAACTTAAAAGCTTTGAGTTGCTCTTATTAGTTATTTTGTACATGCTAGTTTGACAAGGTTCTTATTCAAAACTTGGTTAATAACTGATAGCAGTTTACATACAATTTTGGATTTACAGAGTACATTGTTTGTAACTAATTCTCTTTCTTTTTTAAGCTTAAAAAAAATTATTTTTGTTTTTAGTGTTATAAATAAGTACAACGGTACGATTGTGAAAGTTGAAAAAGATATATTGAACGGATATTGTTTCGAGTCTGTGGTGGAAATTGAAGAAAACCGGTTTTTGGATATAAAACTGACAAATTACGAATTGGACCAAGTACGGAAATTTGTCTGTGACATTTGCCAAGAAGCGTTTACTACCAAAAGAAAAGTAGCCGGGCACATAAGAGAAACACATAGTGTAAACAGGACACTCCAGAAAAGTTGTGGAAAAAATGTTGTTGGAAACACACTTAGGTAAAGTGAATCTGTATTTTATACTTATAGTTATCAACTTTGTCATCGTTAAAATAAAGGCGTTTGATCGTCTTTTTTGTAAACTCTATAAACAGGTACTGACTAATCTATAAACTTTATCTTTTTAGTAATCGAATTGCACCGAAGATAGACTGTAAAAATTCTGCAAAAAAACTGGGATTGTTCCATTGTAATTTGTGTCAAAAATCGTACATCACTAAAAAGCAAATAACATTACACATAATACAAGCCCACCAAACATTAACAATCAAACCCTTGTCACGAAAACCTTACTCTAAACATTACAATAAGAATTCTAAAGCATTAAACAAAAGTGACAGCCAAAACTATAAATGTAATGTTTCTTCAAGGTCATTTCCAAGGTCATCCGGCCTCACAAATCACCAAAAAGTGCACACAGGGAAAAAGCCCTACAAATGTAATGTGTGTTTAAAAGCATTTTCACAAAAATCTGTCCTCGCAATACATCAACCCGTTCATACTGGTGAAAAGCCATACAGTTGCGATATGTGCCCAAAGTCATTTTCTGTTAAATGTAGACTCACAAGACACAAACTAATACACTCTGATATTAAGCCATTCAAATGTGACGTATGTTTAAAGTATTTTACTGAAAGATCAGAACTCCAAATACACGAACGACGCGTGCATACTGGTGTAAAGCCCTACGAATGCAATGTGTGCTCGAAGAGATTTTTTGATACATCTGAACTCAATAGGCACACGCGCACACACACTGGCGAAAAGGCATTCAAATGCAATGTGTGTCATATTTCATTTTATGAAAAATCCCACCTTACAAATCACGAAAAAGTGCACACAGGAGAAAAGCCCTATAAATGTGATGTGTGCCTCAAGTCTTTCTCCCGCAAGGACACTCTCGCTACACACGAACGCGTGCATACTGGTGAAAAGCCCTATAAATGTGATGTGTGCAAAAAGACTTTTTCACAAAAGGTTCACCTTGCTCAACATGAACGCGTGCACACTGGTGAAAAGCCTTATAAATGTGATTGGTGCTCTAAGTCATTTTCTGTATCAAGCAGCCTCAAAACCCACAAACGCGTGCACACCGGTGCAGGCGTTAAAAAGCCTTATAAGTGTGACATATGCTTAAAAACGTTTTCTGATAAAAGTAAACTTACAATACATCAACGCGTGCACACTGGTGAAAAACCCTACAGTTGTGATGTTTGCCTAAAGTTATTTTCTAGGAAATCCCACCTTACAATTCACTCAAGCGTGCACACTGGTGAAAAGAATTACAAATGTGACGTGTGCATGAAATCATTTTCTCATAAATCCACCCTAACACTACACAAGCGCGTACACTCTGGGGAAAAACCCTACAAATGTGATATATGCCTAAAGCCATTTTCCGGCAGATCTCAAATTAGAAAACACATGCGAGTACACACTAGAGAAAAGCCCTACAAATGTGAGTTTTGCGAAAAAGCATATTATGAAAAATGTATGCTTCAAGTACATGTACGCGTGCACACTGGTGAGAAGCCCTTCAAATGCCGCGTGTGCTTGAAGTCATTTACTAATATGAACGACCTTAATAGACACAAACGCGTGCACACTGGGGAAAAACCCTATAAATGCATCATATGTTTAAAGTCGTTTGCTCATGTGTCTTACCTCACAACACATAAACGCATTCACACCGGAGAAAGACCCTACAAATGCGACGTGTGCCATAAGTGTTTTTCTCAAAAAGCCAGTCTCACAAACCACAAGCGCATACACTCTGGGGAAAAACCCTACGAATGTGATGTGTGTGTAAAGTCTTTTTTTTCTAATAGCGGCCTCACAAAACACCAACGCGTGCACACCGGCGAAAAGTATTACAAATGTGATACGTGCCTAAAGACATTTTCTGACAAATCTAGAATTAAAATACACATGCGAGTGCACACTGGTGAGAAGCCCTTCAAATGCCGCGTGTGCTTGAAGTCATATACTAATGCGAACTCCCTCCGAAGACACAACCGCGTGCACACTGGCGAAAAGCTCTATAAATGCTTCATATGAGTTAGAAATTATCATTAAATCGACCTTTTTTAACCTTGTTTTTTATGTAATTATAATTTTACTAATAACTAGTTTATACCTAGTATAAGGTAACACTTAGTGTCTAAATAATCGATTACTATTTATATTCTTAATTTAAAATGTACTTTTAATTGTAATAATTTAATGTAGAACTGTTAATGTACTTGATGTTATATATACAAATAAAACACATTCGCGTGCACACTGATACAAATGCTTAGACAATATGATGCGGGCTTAAAGAATTATTTTCTGTAATAAACTTCGGACTATCTGTAAGTGTGCATACTGGTGAAGAGAATAAATGTCTAAATTATTTTTTAATTAGAAATAATCATTAAATGGACCCTCTTTTTTTACTGTGCTTTTTATGTAATAATTATATATATATTTTTTTTTTTTAGGAACAATAATTAATTTATACCTAAATAAATATGTAAAAAAGTCCAAATAAACAATGACTATTTATGTTCTTAATTTAAAATGAACTTTTAATTATTATAATTTGATCATAATGTTTTTATGTATTTAATTTTAATCATGTACATTATTATTGTACTTAATGTTTCTATTTGTGTTATTATGATTCATTTATTATACCTAAATACTACATTATTTTTTTCTGTACTGTCTTATTCATTTTTTAAGTTATCGTTCTTTTCAATTGTATTTACTAAACAATATGTAGTATCTAGTAGTAAACATTTTACAGTTAAATAAGAGGTAAATTTGGGCAATACGCTATATTGTTTTATTTTTTAATTTACTTCTTTTGTTTTTAACCCTAATGTTGGTTTTGCAGTCTCCATACTCTATCCATTATTCTCGTTACCAGACAGCTTTTTCACTTCAGTGGATCTATGTAATAAAGTTATTTTTATAATTACTAATTTCAATAATTGTTTTACACATAGTGAGATCAATAGCTGATTTTACAAGAAATAATGTTGTATACTTATTTGTAAAAAAAAATCGTTTAGTTAAAATACTATGTAAGAACAATAAATTGTACTGTTTGTCACTTTCCTATTTAAGAAGGAAAATAATGTTTTTAGTTGTATTCTCTTGGATTAATTGTAAGGCCTACGGTTTTTGGCAAAACAGCTTCTGTATGTAGCTGTTTCTTTTTGTAGTTTGTATTATTGTTATTATTTGTATTATTATTATGTCCAGACTCTAGCCCAAGACGAATGTGGTTTAATTAAAAAGTTAAACCACTTTGTGTATGCGATATAATAATAATAAAAATAATAATATAAAATGAGCGTGATTTTATAGCAGTAAGTACTAAGTTGTTTTAGCGACTACGTCACATAGTCCTGGCCTGATCGGTCTCTTTGTAGCTGTCTAATTGTAAGTACCTACCGAGTAATATATCCAATTACTCGAAATTATAGTTCAAAATTTCAAAAATTGATTGACTTAGTATTGTTTGTTATATCTATAGAGCACTACCTACCGACGTACAGAATGAAAGCAAACAACCTCCTTACCTAAGACACCATAAAATATTGTTATTTTTATTTCGATTTTAAAATTTAAGGTTGTTGTACCGTTTTTAATTACTTTCAATGGATAAAACAGACGAATATTTTTTTTTTGAAATTATTACACTTTTCTGTATTTTGTATGAAATTATAAAAATATAATATGTAACTACTTGGGTAATTAATTGCGTGATCGTAAAAAAACCGACGAATAGTTGAAAAGAAAATACATTTTTATTTTTTGTAAGCCAATTTGTAATAGACACTATTATTTGTGTAGCTGTACCGTAATAATTATTATCTTATTCAAAACGCCTTCACTTGCCATCACTGCGTTTTACCTCTAGCTGATTACAGCAACCTCCACTGTTATCACCTGTTGCTCACGTCATAATAATATTATCAAATTGTAGATTGAAATGTCCGTAAAAAAATTTTGTATGTCTAGCTCAATGTGAACCTGATTTAATTGAAAATTGGGTCAATGTGTCTTTGCAATAAAATGTAAAAATTAATTAATTAGCTGTGTTAATTCATAGCAGTAAGTTGTTTTACGGTTTTTAGGTAGGATACGAAGCCATGGACAGCGGTCTCTTCGTAGCTGTGAAGTTGTAAGTACATAATATAACACATTAGGCTTGTAGAGTGAAAAACGCTGTAAACGGTCGAAGGGACAAATAAATTAGTGAATAATTCATTTTATCTATGTGTAGTTGTCACAATTATTTTTACATATTCATCTTAGAAGAAAGCAACGCTATCAGCAGAGTTGATACGTACTGAAAGACCGTATGAACCCGTATGACCGTATCGATTTACTGTTCAAAGTGTTCTATAGTTCTACATTAAACTGTTTCTATAGTGTAATTTTTTTGTTAGTATCAAGTAAATTATACTTGAGCAATATTATATATGTGTTACATATAGTTTAAATCACCATGTAAGTCTGTGATATCAGTATTAAGAAAAGAGGGCAAATGTTATTTAAAATAATTCTTTAAAACTTCCTGGTTATTTAGTTAATTTGGTTTCAATTTGCTTTTTATCAATGTTTAGTTATTAAAGTGTGCTAATTAAAAAACTATTAAAGCACAAAGATGAGTACTTCAGTTTACAAATTTTTGTATTTTATTAGTTTTTCATCTGTATTATCATTATAATTTTTTTTTTTTTTATAACAAAATAGGTGATTTTTTTTTATTAAGCCAGAATTAAAATTGATAAAAACGCTTTTACTGCAATAACATCATGATCAAGGTTAAAGAAGAATACAATCAGTTCAAAGAGCAACCTACCAAAGCATTTGAGGAAAAAACAAAACCTACTCATAATAAAAAGTTAAATAATATTGCGACTACTCAAAACAATTATGGCAATACATACAAGTAATGTGATATTTTAAATATAAGGAATACATAGTGTTACTAAATATTAAAAAATGAAAATGTTATTGAGGCATTCTGGTGCTTATTAGTTAGAGGTTATTCTTTATTGATTTACTTTACAGCGGTAGTGCTGTATCTAATAAATACTATCAATTAATTATTAAAGATTAGAAATTTAAAGAGTGCCGTAATAAATTAAAAAAATGTTATCAAAATAATTAGTTCTATTTTGAAAATTTCACCTTACACTATAGTTGTGTTATAAATTGCTTTGATTTAGTTTCGTTAGCTGACCTTAAACGGATGTTACGTATATCTTTCTTAAGTGGCCAACTATCAAACCCTATAGACTCTCCTATTTCTTATAAACCGTAAACGTAACCGTAAACATTAAAGATCAACAATATTGTTCTTGCTCATCAATCAATTACATTACCTCTGTTTTTCTATGTCCTTTTATTTATAAATATAATTTTTTTTTAATATGTTTGGATTTTCAGAGTTGACGAACAGAGAGTTAAAATTAAAATAGGTGAAACGGATGATTATTATTATGCGTCCACGATCCAAGTAGTAAAAGGAAATGAGCAGTTCAGTGGGGAACTTACCGAAAAACTTGGGGAAAAAATAAAAACATCTTTTGTTGAAAAAACATGTAATAGCTGTGCAACAACTCAAAATGATCTTCAAAGAACATTCGATGGGAATACATATAAGTAATGTGATTTTTTAAGTACAAAATTAAAAAAAAAAAAATCCATTTTGCTAACTATTTCATATTATCGCAACTCATAGACTTATATAAATGTATCATCAAATTTGCCAACAATAACAATCATAGAACCATGTTCAATATATTATGGGCATGCCCACTGTTTTAATTTGCCATTAAGTTAATAATACATTTTTTTAAAACAGTTTTTGGTTTTTTTTTTTAGAGTTAATCAAGTCATAACTAAAAATTACAATACGGATGATTATAACCACGAAAACATGATCAAAGTAGAAGAGGACCTTGAAGAAAAAACAAAACCTAATTACAGTGAAAAATCTGATAATGATGTGACGACACAGAACTATTCACAAACAATAATTGATGGCAACTTATACAAATTGTATGTTAACCTAATATATTCTCGTAGGAGCTTTTTATTTTTTTATTTTTTGAACTTAAAAAATTAAATCATTTTTTGTTTTTAGTGCTAGAGAAACGTACAACGGGACAATTGTGAAAGTCGAGGCAGATCTGGTGAATGGAAACTATTTCGAGTCTGTGGTAGAGGTAGAAAAAAATTGGCTTTTGGATCAAACGATGAACTACGATTTGGACAAAATACGGACATATGGTTGCGATCTATGCCAAGAGTCGTTTAGTACTAAAAGAAAAGTGGCTCGTCACATAACAAAATCACATAGTGTAATCCCAAAATCTCAGGAAAGCACTAGAAAACAAGTCGTCAAGCTATACAAATGTGATGTGTGCCTCAAGTGCTTCTCCTGCAAGGGCACTCTCACTGCACACGAACGCGTGCACACTGGTGAAAAGCCCTATAAATGTGACGTGTGCAAAAAGACTTTTTCTCAAAAGGCCCACCTTGCACTACATCAACGCGTGCACACTGGTGAAAAGCCCTATAAATGTGACGTGTGCAAAAAGACTTTCACTTATAAGGGCAACCTTGCACTGCATGAACGTGTGCACACTGGTGAAAAGCCTTACACGTGTGGCGTGTGCTGGAAGTCCTTTTTAGATAAATCCACCCTCACAAAACACAAACGCATTCACACTGGAGAAAGACCCTACAAATGCGACGTGTGCCATAAGTGTTTTTCTCAAAAAGCCAGTCTCACAAACCACAAACGCCTGCACACTGGTGAAAAGCATTACAAATGTGACGTGTGCTCAACGCCTTTTGCTGATTTATCCACCCTCACAAAACACAAACGCGTGCACACCGGAGAAAAACCTTACGAGTGTGATTTATGCTTAAAGCTTTTTACTGATAAATACCATCTTACACGACACAAACTCGTGCACATTGTTGTAAAAAAAAAGAAATATAAATCTAACTAGAATTGGAAATCATCATTAAACACTTCTTTATCACTCGGTCATTTTTTATGTATTTTTTTTTTGTGTTGTAACTATATATACCATGTCTATAACACATTTGTGAATACTTGCAAGAGATGGCTATTTCTTGTATTGTACTAAGTATATCATTGTAATAAGAATATTATTTTATAGTACTCACGTTAAGTATCCAGCACAAAACCAAAAAAATTTGTAAATAACTATTGTTATAGTTTAGTTATGTATGAGAAAGTAGCGAATGAGCGCACTCTGTTAAAATGATCACTCCTAAACAAAAATAAATATTGAATTTCAATTAAATCAATTCCATATTTCTAAATTTTCTACTATTTTTAAAGTAAAAATATTTAACTATAAAATAAAACAAAAAATAAAAATACTTTTACTATGTAAAATATACTGTTTTCATGTTGAAAAAATAATTACACTTTTTTTTGGTAAAATATTTAACTTTTATTACTTAAAATACTTTACTTCCCCAAAAGTAATATTATTAGTCCACACCAACATAATATCCCAGCTCGTTCTACCTCCGACGCCTCTGTTGTCAATCGTTGCATATACAATATTATGTCATAATAATATCAAAATTGTCTGTATTAAAAAAATATTATATCTTGCCTCTAAGTAAGGTGAAGTGTGATATTTTATTTTTTAAGCTTCTTGTGTGTATACCTAATATAAAATGTATTAAAATTAGTACGTGATATTTATAGCTGTACGTTCTTTTAACGTCTTAGAATCTTAGCTAGCAGTCTCTTTGTAGCTGCATAATAGTACCCGTAAGTACAGAATAATATCAACATTGACTTTACTATCATTGAGCCATCATATTTATGATGTTTATTTGAATCTTCCAAAAATGTAAACAGTGCATTTTAAACTTGTAGAAACAAGTGTCATTGACAGCTGTAGAAATGAGTTTATAAATAAATCAAAACCCTGCGGATCCAACTGGTCATTATTTTGTTAAAGTTGCAGATTGTCTAGTGATTATAATATAATATTGATTTAGTGTTCAGTATTCTCTATAGTTTCTCTTTAATCTAGTTCTATACTGTGACATATTTTTTTTCATCGACTTAGCCAATTTCTTTAGATTCAATAATTTTAATGTTTTATATTGTCGACACATTAAACTACAGTTTATTATGCTGAGATATTTATATTGAATGTGCCAAGATGGCAAATTGTATTACACATATTAATGTTTAATTTACATGTTTTGTTTTATCTAATTAGCTGTTTTTGATTTTGTTTTACATTTTATCAATATTGAGTTGATAAAATGTACCAAATATGTAATATAATAACCGTTATATTTTTCGTATATGTTGACAGTTTTTAATATTTTATTTGTATTATTTATTATTTCTTTGTTATCTCAAAATAGGTGTTTTATAATTTATTAAGCGAGAAACAAGTGTAGAATTAAAATCTAAACAGACGATTATATTGCAAAGACACCATGATCGAGGTGAATGAAGACCATGAACAGTCCAAAGTGCAACCTACCAGAGGGTTTGAGGATAAAACAAAACCGATTAACAATAAAGATTCAAATAACTGTGCGATGACCCAGAATGACCCAAAAACCTCAATGGACAAGTAATGCGATATCTTTAATTGAGAAACTTATTTTTTTACTCATATTTAAGAAATAATATTATCGTACATCTATTGTTAAACATTCCATTCTTTTTAGGTAAAGTGACTGTTCTTTGTTTATTTTGCTATACAGCGGTAGCTGTATAATTTATTGAGCTTTCGTTAGAAATTAGATCCAGTGGTCAAAAAGCAAATTTCATGTATTTATAAAAAATCGCTAATCACACTACTACGAAAACACGTGTAAAGATGTAAATGTGTAAATTTAATTGTACCTACATTTCTAATTTTCTGATTTTTCAAAATGTTTATGTTGGCCAAAAGTTTTTTTAGTAGTTTTTCAATATTTGGCCTTAATCGATTTATTGGCAACATTCACTTGGTTAGTTATTTTGAATCAATTTAACCATTCATTCAAGTTAATTGGTCGGAACCAGGAACACCGTAGCAGACATGTACGACAAAGAAATGAAATTACAATAGTTTGGTCGACTTAAGCGGACCAAACGGGGCAGAATTAACTCCAACTCCAACCCCAACCCCATCCCAACAACATATAAATTAATTTGTTATGTAGGCACTTACTTACTGGCGAACCACGGAAATTAATTTATGAGAAATGTTAAATACTGATAAATGCAGCCAGTAAATTGATTAACAAACTATTGAAACATATATCATTGACCATTCCCAATAAAACTTAAAAATATTGGAAGTAACTTTTTTTATTCATTTTACATTAAATATGACTCATGTATTTATATTGACATTTTGTCCCTTTCGATAAATAATAAAGCCATACTTAGGGAGACTATTATTGATATTTTTCTTAAATTGCGAGAAGGAACTTGTAAATTAAAATATACGAATAAAGAAATTATAAATTATTACCTCTAACAATACATATTAATGGGGGGAAAATATGGATGTTCTTCGGTTTATAATATTAAATTCTGTATAAAAAAATGTTGTGATAGTCTGATAAAAAAAAACTACTAATAAATCATTCATCCAGTATATTATTGCCAAGAATATGATATCGCATTGTTTACGGAGTTGCAAAAAAAACAGTTTTAAAAAAAAAAAAAATGTTTATATTTTTTTTTAAATATAGCATTATGAAAAAAACGCACATATTCAAGTTAATTGTTATCTACATTACACGAGAGCGTATACAAAATATTTCGGAATTTTTCTGCATCATATATATATAGGCCATTTATACATATGCGACCATGTATTGATTTTCCACACTCCGACATCTGTTCCATATCATATAACATTATTGTTTTTTAATAAAATAATACGGGTTTGAATACAATTTTGTAAAGTGTTTTTCGCATACTTCTATGTTTTGTAGTAGAGATAATATTATATTATCTATTTAGTATTTACTGGCCATAAGATCTTATGGACGCATTTTTATTATTATTTTTAAAATTACTTTAATAACATACATTACCCGTTTAAATTCAATACTTTTATACAATAATTATTATCATGTTGTTATCAATATACGAAGCGCACGTCGTGTGTATAGTATCTCATAGAATAATATCTATTCTCCTTGACACTTTATTACACATGGAAGCGTGCATCTTAAAACAACAATAGACTCATTAAGAGGGGATAGTGTTTTCATGAACTGCTGATCAAATCTGATCACGATTTTAAACGATCTTAATGACCCAAAAGATAGGCATATAACCAGCTTCCGGGCCAGCGGAACGTCAGTAGTAGTCAGTTTTCCTTCCTTAGCCTAAACTTTCCTCTCAACACATCTACACCCGTCCGGGTAGCTACTTTGTATTTCGGCGTGGGATGTATACTTTTTCCTACTCATATGTTGACGCCTAAAGGGTAGCTATTTATAGTCCTTTGCGCTTCATATGAACGGTTACACCGCAAAACGTCGCCCGACAAAACGCCACCGGACAAAAACTCGACAAAACGTCGCCGGACAAAAAATCGACAAAACGCCGCCCCTAAAAAAACCGCCTCCCAGTAATGCCAACTCTAACAATTTGTGTTTACAATATACGATTATTAATGGTGCTAGTTGTGCTTCAAAAAATAAAAGTGTTGAACAAAAGTTACTTTGAATGATGAAAGTGATAATCAATTATCCGAAACAGTAGGTTTGAATAAATGTAACAATTGATTTGTTCTCTAAAAATCTCTCGCTGTAATAGTAATTCTTGTGTCATTCATTGTAAAAGTGAATTATCTCTTTGTAATTGAATTTTGAAACAACGAGCTTTTTGAAAATTAATGTATAGCAAAAAAATAGAAAACACTGAACTAATACTTGTACCTACTTTTAATGTTTATTACAAACCAAAGGTTCTACAAATTTATAGTGACTTGGAAAATGAAACCAAAACTAATGCAATAAATTAACTTAAACTTTTTTTTTCTTTTTTGGAGCTACACCACTTTTACAACGAACGAACCAATTTGTAATACAGTAGAGTAAAATAATAGTACGCAGATTTCGTGTAAATGAACACTCTTTATCAAATTTAATCAATAGCCTGACAACTACTCGCACTAAGTGTGCCAAATGAGTTAAAGATAAATGTTATCAACCTCATCATCGTCACCGTCGTCTACTTAGTTGTGACAAGTAAAAGAACGCAAAATGTATACATGTAAATAATGAAACAAAACAAAAAAACTTGTCAACATTAATATTAAAAAAATTATTGAAGCTTGAGTGAGGTACATTATATTTACACTATTTACATGGCTTGAGGTTACTCCCACTTGGATGTCTTGACTAGTTCGCCAACGTTTCATAATATTATAGCACACTAAATAATATTGTATCACACTGTGGATCACAGATACAATGGGTTGATAATTTACCTTTTATATAAATATATAATATTATTATGTACCTCACATAAGGTATTGAATGTTAACTACACATTATTATTAACAATATTATTACCCATAGATTGTCATCTACACAAACCGAAAACCGTTTTGGTCGTTAAACGGCGAAAATCATTGAGTATGGATAGTTTCTATACTCAATGATATTATATTAACAAGTTGTGTACAATTTAAATGAGTTTTCACGCTCAGTGTTGAGAGTGAACTTGACAAACGATCTAAGCGCAAAAACTGTAAAAATTAGTTTTATACTTTAGGTATACCAATATAAAAACAATCTGATGTATTTTTTTATAGACGATTTTTAATTCAAATAAACTGAAGAACTAAATTAACCCGTGCTCGCAACTTCCACCAGACTTTTTGTTTATTAAGAAAAAAAAATACTTAAGAGTATACAAAAACGGCGAGTCTTATGTGAATAATAACAACTATTAAAGCATAGCGTGCGGGCTGGGCACAAATTCGAATTTCCAGTATGTCTCATCTGTTGTCTTCGCAGAACC